TCGCAGTAATATGTATTATTTATATACAGCAATACAAGTATATACAAGTTTATTTATTATTGTGTTTAATTTATCAAGAGTATGTAATAATTTATGAACATAATTTTGTCATTATTTAATTTATCGCTTATCGAGCAATACAATAATTATGTGTTAAATAATGAATTTATATTCCTAATTATAATAATATTATTAACAATATTATAAAAAAATATATAAATATATAAATTAATCTCTCTCTAAAATGACATCCGAATGCGAATTACTGTATATTCTATATAGAGAAAATTGGATAAATCTAAAACTATTAACATAAGTTAAACAAAATTTCATTTATGATAAGAATTATATATGATATAAGTAAACCTATTAGATGGATTATCCCAAATTATAATTGATGAATAGACAAAGTTTGGACAAAGATGGATAAACTTCCGATGATAAATATTGTGTTCATTTCATATAATAAACATAGTATATAGAATGTTTAAACAAAATAAATAAAAAATTTAAGGAATGATTATAAACACTAAAGCAACAATCGATATGCAAAAATATCAATATCATTGAAGTTTATTTTTAATAAACAATTTCATTTTGTGCTAAATGAAATGATGTGATAATGTATTAACGAAAGTAAAGCTGTCTTATTTCATCCAGTATGAAATTTTTACATACAAATTTTTGTCTTTATTTTAATCTCTAGAATCTAGAATTATTGGTTAAATTTTCTAATAATTTTATTCAAATATTTTGCATATTGCATGATCTTCATTTTGAAGCTACATATTGCATGATGTTTTTTATTTAAATAAAATTACTGAAATATGAATATTTAATATTTGATAAATTAATATTTGTGAAGTAAAAAAAAACTTTTTGTAAAAATTCTATTTCGTTTTTTTTAATACGAGAATTTTATTTTAAATATTACGAAATAAGTGAAATATAATATTTTATAATTTTTATGCTACGATGAATCAAAATATTTGCGTATTACATTGTATTTGCATATTAAATTGCAAAAGCAATTGAGAAGAAATAATTTATAATTCAATCCAATAATGTTATAATTTATATTATAATTACAATCAAGGACAATTAATTAAATTTTTTTAAATTAAGATTATAACTAAGATTATAACTTAAGATTATAAAAGTGATTTTAAAATGAAATGTATAATGATGCATATAATATGTAATAACGTTTAATAGTGAATTAAAAATATTATTTTTTTTATCATATTTATATTCTCTTATATTGAGTAACATATTATCCTATCTTGAAACGATTATCATATATAAGCTTTTGCCATTAATATTCTATATATTAAATTATTTTTCTATTATATTATATTATACTTTATTCAATTAATAATATAGTTAAATATTCGATAAATATTAATTTATTTTTGAAAGGAATGAAATTTAAAAAAAAAAAGAAAAAATAACTTTACATTTTCAATATTTAATATTTTACATAAATTCATTTTTAGTTTTATTATTATCATTCTATATAATACATAAAATACTAAAAAGCACTATTGGTTTCAACAAGCAGTTTCTTTTACAATTTATAGTAAATCAATAACTTTAAATATACTACCAAATAAATTTTTGTTGTTTATTTGTATGATAAAGCACTAAAGTGATTAAATTAAATTTATAAAATAGACTAAATACATAATAACGATAACAATTATGTTGAAAAATAAATAAATAATGTATCAAAATTTTTCGATAAGCAAATATATAAAAAAAAAAGTAATAATTATTAATGATTGTTAATCGCCAATAATTGCTAATTTATCTGTTTTATTAATTGTAATTCTAGAAAATTAAATTCCTTTATCTTTAATTACTTATTAAGTACAACTTATTTTTATATTAATTTTTATATTAATATTATAATATAATTCTTGATTTTGCATAAAATAATTTACATCACAATTAATTTAAGAATAAGTTTTGTTTATTATCGTTAATTATGGTCAAGATCAAATCATGAAATTCATGAAAAGATATTTTTAAGTGTATATTTTAATATATTTGAAATTTTATATAACTTTATGTCAATTTATTTTTAGAATAAAATACATATAAAAAATATATATATTTTAAAATAAAATTAATATTAATTATATTTTTAAACAAAATTGATATTAATTATATTTTTAAACAAAATTGATATTAATTATATTTTTAAACAAAATTAATATTAACTTAAATATAATTTCAATTTTATTAACAGAGTTCAGTATTGAGATATTCAAACTTTCGCCATCTGTTGGTTAAATTTATTGAACTATTGATTAGTTTATCCATTCTTTTGCCGATTGTATCAATCATTTTTCTTTTTGTTCACTAAAAATTCTTCTTCATTTTTTCTTTTTCATTAAGAATAATTATTTTTTTATTCATTTAAAAATTACTGTTACAGAAGAAAATAGTTCTTAACATTTTTGATAAGAATAAAAAAATATATGAACAGTAATTTAAATATTTTTTTGCAGCCAAAAAAAACTTTATATATATGAATAAAATATCGTATTTTGAGAAAATTATATAACACATATAAGTCTACAATGTAGACTTATCAATTTTTTTGTTATCAACATTGCATGATTCAACTGTTATTTATAATATTTTTATGAACATCATTTTTAAATATTATATTTTATTTCATTGTGATTGCGTAAATATTTTTCATAAATAGCATAAAGATAGCATGAAACATCCATATTATCTTCTTATATATTATAAATTACTATATTATTGACATTAAATAGCTAATAATTATAAATTGATTTTATAATCATATGTAAATTCATTAATATAAATAAACAAAAAAATTTTTTTTTAATATGTTGTATTCAAATTTTTAAATAATTATCGAATAAAATTATAATTGTTTATAAATTAAATTTTATATTTGCATTTATACTTATTATTTATTAGTCATTGATCAATTAATATCATATTTTTATTATATTGATATATAACAAATAACATTAAAAAAAAATATTTATATATTTCACGAAAAAAAATATACATCTTATGTATACCTATCTCAAATATTATGCTAATTGCATTTTATGTTTTATTGCATTTCACCTCTAGTTATATCATTCCGATGTATATATTTATAAATTTTAAGTTTACTAATTTTTTTAAAAAAAATAACTTTTTTCAATCAACTTATTTTTTATTTTTATATATCTTTTAGCTATAAATATTTTATAATAAATATTGAAATATTTAATTTTTGAATATTTAAATTTTTATTAAATATTTTCGTATATATAAAAATAAAATAAAAATTTAAAAATTTAAAATTTAATTACTTAAATAATTAATTAAATAAATAAATTTAAAAATTAAAATAAATAGAATTATATATAAAAATAGTTGAAATTTATTTTTTAATATAAACAAATTAATTATTTTTTAATAAGCAAATTAACTGAACTATATAAATTGAATTAAAGTAGCGAAAATAGAATCGATTATCTATATGAAATCCAGTATATAATATTCAAATATTAAGATCAGAATATATTTCTGATACTAAAAAAACTTTCTATAAAATATCAATCATAAATAAATAAATATATCATATCAACTTTGAATTGAACTTTAATAAACAAAAAAATTTATATTAAGCTATCTAATAGTAATAAGTAATACTTCTATTTACAATTTCGTATTACAATTAAATCAAACTCAAAAATAATGTTACAACAATTAATTGAAAAGAATTAAATTATTTTCATCGTGCAAAAAATAGCTATAATATTTTTTAAATATCTAAAATAAGAAATAATAAAATCAATATTAAAAAATTTATATCTGATTAATTTAATAAACAATGTTATCGATTAATGATTTATACTTTATAAGAAAAATATATAAAAATAATATAAACAAAATATACAAAAACAATATATAGACATTATATTATATAAATTTATACATATATATCTACATACTTCAATTTTAATACAAAACATAATTTGCGTTGTATCTCTGTTATTAATAATACAAAAAATTAATACAAAAAATTAATATATATACAAAAAAATAATATATAATAAATATATTATACTTTTTTTTATAATTTTACATATTAACATTTTATTTATGAAAGAAACATTAATAAAGAATGAAAAAGATTAATTCTATCGATAAACTGAAATTACAATTTAAAATTAATAAAATTTAATATATGAAAAATTTTATTATATATTAAATATATAAATTCTATAATATAAAAGTATATGGATGCCATTACTTTCAAAAATATTAATATAAAAATATTTTTTTATAAGTTTTGCAAACTATATTTTTTAATAATGATATATGATATATGATCTTTTAATAATTATAAGATATACATTTTCATAAAGATTAATATCAAGTGATTCATTTTTTACTAATTGCACACTAATAAATTTATAAAAAAATTTAATTGATAATATATGTAATTTGAAATTTATTTTCTAATATTTAAATATATGTAATTAATATTTAAATATTATATAATATTAATTAATATAAATATTTTATAATTATTTATAATAAAATAGAAATATTTAAATCTGAATATTTATATAATTCAATCAATTTATTAATATATAAAATAATAAGAAATAATCAAAATTAGATAATATTAAAGAAAAATAATAAATAATTTTAATAAAAAATGTAACATATCTATATATAATATAATAATATAACAATAGAAATGATTATAATATATATATTTTTATAAAATTATTTAATAATTTTAAATTAATAAATGCAATTTTAATAGAAATTAATTATTACTTTGTAAAAATATGCATTTATATCTAAATATAAAAAACTAATCACATTTTTAATTAAAAATCAAAACCGAGAAATTATGTTTTTCAAAACTTTTCTCGATCGATGATCTTGCACAATACTATGTAATATCAGTACTATCATTACCACCTGTTGGAATACATTTTCAAACTTACCTAAATAGTAGTTTTTGAATGAAGAAAATTTTAATTAAGAAATGAAATATTCTTCTTATAGGAAATTTCCTCTCAATAAGAATCAAAGATAACCACGTGACACTTTTTTGTCAATTCAGTTCCTTTTTCAACACGTTATACTCGCGTAAAACGATGTAACCACACTGCTTTACTACTGTGTAATATTCACATACACAACAATGTATATATGTCAAACATTGAAAGCGTAAAATATTTTTTCTCTAATCATCTCATATATTACATCAGCAATACGTAATTTTTCTAATTATGTGAAATGTCCAATTTAAAAAAGGATAGAATTATATGAAGAAAAAAGAAGGATTGTTAGATGAGGTTGCTTGTGATATGTAACCGGAAGGTTCTTTCATGCGCGCTTTATTTGAAAAATTTGTTTTTATTGAAAAATGTTATGGTAAATATTACAAAATATTTTTAAAAATTAAATTTCATTTAAATTTTAAATATTATTATTGTTTCTTTTATTATATATATATTTATTCATAATTTTACTTATGTTATTATTTAACTTATCGTTATGTATAAATTAATTGTTCATTTTTTTTTTATATAATTTAATACAGAAAATTAATAAATAAACTATATAAATACATGATATATATTTACATAAAAACAGATTTATATAATAATTTTATATAAATTAATTTTTATATAAAATTAATATATTAATATGTTAAAATTAATATGTTATTTGACAATAAATTTCAATAATTTTTTCCTATTTCTTGATTTAGATGTAATTACTTTTTTTTATTAAAAATTATTATTAATTCGCTTTTAATAAATTATTGAATGTAATTGATTAAAATGAATATTGTATGAGAATTTGAAAATAAATATATAAATAATAAAAAAATATTTTTTGGGAAATTTTAAAATAATTAAAAAAAATAATATAATATAATTGTATATATTAACATTATTATTTAATATTATTATTTCTTGTAAATAATATAAAAAATTATATTATGTATTACAAACATTATAAATTTTTATTTTCTTATAATTAAAATAATTATAATAAATTTTTAAAAAAATGTCACATTTCTAATATATGTATAATATATTTTGTATAACTATCTAATTATTTATGTTGAACATTTAAAACATATACTTCTTCTTGTTTTAATTCCCATCTTTTTATCATTTAAAACTAGAATAAACATATTTTTGATTATTTTTAATTAATAACCATTTTAATTTATAATTTTTTAATAATTTTAATACTTAATTTATATATTCAATATATATATTAAATTAATTATTAATTATTAAATTAATTTAATATATTCAATATATAAATTAATATTATATTATTCAAATAAAATTAATTAATTTAAAATAATTATGGTTTTGAATAATTCTTAATATTTAATAAATATTGATGATTATATAAAATATTTTCATTCATTTTATAATTATATAATTATTATATTAAATATAATACAATAAAATACGTACTTATTAAATTTGAACCAATATTAATTGATTCTGACTTCATATTTTCCAATTCGTATAGAATTATGGAATGGAACGATAATGCAGCTATTCTTGTGAATAGTTCTGATATTCCGATTCCAGTTCTGGCGGAAACGGCCCAAAATTCAGCTTTCATTTTCCGCGCTACTTCGGCAGCTCGTTTTTCTATTATACTGTATATTTCATTGGACTAAAAATATTTTTTTTATTCTCATTTATAGAATAATTATATTAATTTATAATTATTATAAACATAATATTTATTATGCTCAAAATATTCTTTTATATAATAACATAAAATAATATTAATGTACTTTAAATATTATTGATTATAAAAAAGATTTATAATCAATTTTCTATATAAGTATTTGAACAAATTCAAATTATAAAATATTTTTTTTGTTAATTTAAATATATGATTTAATAAAATTTAATTAGTTGCTTATTCCGATTTCTATTAATAAATCATGCAATTACCAATAAATCTCGTTTTGTGCCTATTAAAAATATATGACATGGTTGTGTATTACTTTGAGCAGCTTCATTTAACCATTGTTCACAATGTCCTAATGATATTAAATTAGCCAAATCAAAAACTACCATGATCACTGAAATATATACATTTCTTATATAATATATAAATTTCCTATGTTTTATTATATATTTTTTGTAATATTTTGATTTTTATATTTATAATGACAAATATATGACAAATATTCATTATACCATTTGAATTTCTGTAATAAGATGCAGCTATGGATTTAAATCTTTCTTGACCTGCTGTATCCCATCTGAAATTTTTATCATATATTTTAGTCAAAGTATATAAAAAATTACTTTGTAATAATAAAATAATAATATAATAATATACAATATAATGATAATTTTTAATATATTTATTAATATTATAATAATGTAATAATATCAATTATTAATATTATAATAATATTATAATTAATATTAATTATTAATTTTAATATCATGAAGTTTATTTATTACGGAAATATTAAAAAATTACATAATAAAATATTTTTAATTTAAATGAACGCACATTTGTAAATGAAAAGGTATGCCAAGAATATCAAATTTTTCTACTTCAAAATCTACACCAATTGTTGCTTTGTAATTATTGTCAAATATTTTGTGACAAAATCTGAAATGCAAATGATATTTATTTAATTTTACGATAATATATAATTTATAATAAATTCTATATAATAAGTTCATATTAATATATATTATCGTATATAATATTACATATAATAATATATATGAAATTATAATTTAATATAATAAGCATGATTACCGATTTATTAGACATGATTTTCCAACTGAAACATCACCAATTATAATTGCTTTTGCAATTTTCGAAGTTAAATTTTTTGTTTTACATGAATGTTTAACAATTGTATTAAAATCTCTTTCATTATATTCTGTCATATCAAATGAAAACGGGGGTGGCCAATTATCAATCTATAAAACATTAATGTTTATTTAATTAATTAATAAATATATATAATTCATATATTAATATGAAATCAAATATTATTCGAATATTAATAATAAAAATAATTATATTAATTAAAAATTTATAAAATATTATAATAAAATTAAATATATTATTATTAATAATTATATATATTATTAATAATATATATAATAATTACAATAATTATTAATAAAATTGTCAATTGCAAATTCAAAATTGATTATTATTCAATATTTTAAAAGATTAACTTAATTTTAAATTTTATTAATTATATAATTATTTAAGATTTTTTAATTATTTATATCAAAATAAAATTTGGAAATTATACCTGTCTATCATCTCGCGCCACTTCCATTATTTTATAAATAGCTGATCGTGTTTCCAACATCATTTACACTATATACTTTTTAATATTATTTATATTTCTAAATTTATAATATATAATTACATATAAAATTCAATATTATTTATAAATATATAATTATATAATTTAATTATAATTATTTAAATTATATAAATTTTATTTTAAAATTTAATGAAAAATAAATATAATATATATTTAAGAATTTTATATGTATTATTTATTTTGTTAATTTATATTAAAGAATTGTTAGAGAGTTAGAAAAGCGATTCTTGTTACTTGCTACTACTAATAAGTAAATTTAAACTAAATGAAAACATTGGTTGCTATGACAGATGTATGTTACATATGTTATCTTAAATGTTATCTTAAAAATCTTTAAAAAAATTAAATTAGATATATTATAATTAAAATAATATTTGTATTAAAATGATATTGGTAATTTTCCAAATTTTTATGGAATAACAAAATGTAAAATATACTATTAAAATTTGTAAATAAATTAGATTATAATATTGAAATAATTTTATATAAAATATAACTAATTTACTATAGTAATTGAATAATTTAATATTTTAAAAACTATAACTTTTGTATATATTATGAATACAAATAAATTTCTATTTTATAATATTAAATTTATATATAAACGATTAACGTAGTTTAATGATTCCCTATACATATATTTCCGGCTAAAGTTCCCTTTCTTTTTAGCAAAATGGCTCCTAAATCGAAGCCCACGGATAAGTCAGGTACATTTAAAAATTGTTAATAAAAAAAATTTTAATTTCTTTTAATAAAAATTTGAAGATTGTTTTTTAAGTTTGAAAAGATGATTAACAAGAATTTATGAAGTGAATAGTATAAAAAATTGGATTAATAAACACGTGTTCAATTTCAATTTTAACCATGTGGTTTATTACTTGTTTTGTATGTGTTTTGTTTGAAGAAAATATCTACATATGTATATTTTATATTCCTATATTTATAAAATACTTGTTATATATATATATATAATGAATCTAAAAGACTTCTTAATAAATTTATTTTTTATAAGAAATTTTATGTATTTATTATAACCTAAATATATTCATAATATTATTTTTAAAATTTTGTTATAAATATTTATTTAAAATATAATTGTAAATAAAATATGTTGTGTATATGATTGTAATAATTTAATTATAATATTTTGATTATTTATTCTATTTTTTTCTAGCTAGCAAACCAGCTGAGAAAAAAACAGAGAAAAAAATTGAGAAAAAACCAACTACTACAGCTTCAACATCAAAAGTTACAAAACCAACTGCAAAAACATCTACTACTACAAAAAAAGCAGCAACTGCTAAATCTACAAGTTCAACAAAACCTACAACAAAATCAACAGCAAAACCTGCACCTAAAGTTGTTGCGAAACCAGTAGTTGCAAAACCTAAAAAAAATGTTCAACCTACAAAGAAAACACCTAAAGGTGGAAAACCAGCTGTACCACTTCAGAAAGCACTTAAAGCTCAAAAAAAGGTTTTCTCTTTAATAAATATAAATAACTCTTAATAAAAAAGTTTATAAATTAAGAAATCATGATTTTTATGATGATATATCAGGGAATCTCATTGAATAATTATGATAAAAATTTAGTTTATTACTGATATATTAAAATTATTTGAAATATATAATTGTTATAATTTATCATATAATTAATATATTTATAACATATTTATTCATAGATATTAAAAGGAGTTCATGGATCAAGAGTACGAAAAATAAGAACATCTGTGCACTTCTACCGGCCAAAAACATTTAGACCACCAAGGAATCCAAAATATGCTAGAAAATCAGTTCCAAACAGAAATCGGTAAATATTAATAATTCTTTTATCTTTTATTTTTTTTATTTTCTATTAAATTTATCATTTATTATGTTTTTATTTAAATATATTATTTAATTCTTATATATTAAATTTTAATATTTAAAAAATTTTTCTTGTAGTATGGATGCATTTAATATTATTAAATTCCCTTTGACCACTGAAGCTGCTATGAAAAAGATTGAAGATAACAACACATTAGTTTTTATTGTACATACTCGAGCTAATAAATATCATATTAAAGCCTCTATTAAAAAATTATATGATGTTGATGTAGCTAAAGTTAATACTTTGATTAGGCCAGATGGTAAAAAGAAAGCATATGTACGATTAACTCGTGATTATGATGCACTTGATGTTGCTAATAAAATTGGTATAATATAAGCATATTTATATGTGATTGATATGGAAATGTATCTATACTATATCCGTATTAATAAAACATATTGAACAAAAAATCTTATCATGTTTATTATATTTCAACAATTCTTTATTAATGGTATTTTTTTGTGATGATCAAATTGATATATTTTAATGTTTTTTTAATATTAATTTAATAATATGTCATAAAGATATACTTAAATTTAGAATAATAATAAATATAGTAATAAATTATAATTATTTTCATTATAATATATAATAAAAGATAACAAATTTTTTTGTTTTTAGTTTATTAAACTTATATATACCTAATATTTAAAATAAAATGCTTTAATTAGAATGGTTTTTTTAATAAATATTAAATATTTTTATTAAATATTCTAATATAATTTTTCATTCCATTCAAAAACATTAAATAATAATTGTATATTAATTTTTATTAGAAATGTATATTTACATATAAAATATATATACATGTTTAATGATACATATTTAAAATTACAAATACAGATATATTTATCATTAATCTTATAACTCACAATACATTCTTCTAATTTTTATTATTTAATAATAAAAATATATAATTTGAAAAATTATAATCCCAATCTACTTGGAGTTTTTCGATAAGGAGCAGGTGTTCCTGGTTCTCTAATACCTGGTGTTAATATCTCTTTTCTATAAACAATAGTAATAGTAAATAGTGATAAATCAATCATATAAAATGCTAAGAAAGTATTATAAAATATTAATATTATGTATTATAATTATATTTATAATACTATATAAATATAATATTATAAATTTTCATGACAAACTTACTTTCTGATAGAAGCTTGTTCACGTTCAAGTTGTTCTTGCGCTCGAGCTTTCATTTCTTCTTCTGCTTCTTTCATTTGTCCTTCCATTTCATGTAAATGTTGCATAGCTTGTCGTCTTTTTGCTCGTCCACTTCGTCCAGTTCTTTAACGCTAAAGAACATAGGACCTAATTCTGCCAACCAGTGACCATCAACAGCAGTTACGCATTGCATATATTCCTTAGCAGTCATTACAAGTTCATGATACACTACATAATCTGGTGTGAAGCCCATACCGAACAAAGCCGATGTTGGATGTAAATGGCATGGCATTCCAGTACGACAATTTACATATTCACCAATACCTTTTAAACGGGCTGCTTGATGAAAATATGCTGAACAAATACATTTTCGCACAATATCCCAATCGGTACCACAACTTACAACTTCCATTTTTTGTTGTTTTAAAATTTCTTCAAGTTGTTGCCTAACTTCTCTGACTTTACGCATAGCTTTTGCATGGATAAAATGATCATTACACCAAGAACTGGAATAACCATTTGCTTTCCATTGATTGTATACATTGAGATATGTTAAATGATCAGATTCTGGTACTTGAAATTTTTCTCTAGCTGAATCGGAATCTTCTTCGCGACCTTTTGGTCGATAAAATATCGAAGGCACTGATAACATAGAAACTGAAAAATATTTTATATGAAAAATATTTACTATATATAAAAATTAAAATAAAAATATATAAAAATATAAAAATTATATATAAAAATATATAAAAATTAAGATAAAAAACATTTAGTTCATGACATAAATTCTTAATTTCTGCTTTTAAAAAATACTGATTACAATTTATATTATAATTAGCTATTTAAATAGCTTAAGTTTATTAATATATAATTTTTATAATTTATAATTTTTTATATTTTACATATCTACCTATAATAAGTATATCTGCAGTACAACCAAGTTGAGAAGCAACTATGAGCATTTGACATTGAGGTGGATCTAGTGGAAACTCCGCCATTTGTCGTCCTAAAGGCGTTAAACGTCCTGTATGATCTAATGCACCCAAAATCCATAATTGATATAGAGAATTTAATATATTATCTTGTGGTGGTGGATCCATAAAATGAAAGGCCAATAAATCCTGGACACCTAAAGACTTCAATAATAATACAGTATTTGCTAAATTGGTTCGTTGTATTTCCGGAACACCAGTTAATAATAATTCATCTAAATATTGTCTTCGTGTGTATAGTCTATAACAGGTACCAGGACCAGTACGTCCTGCTCTTCCTGCTCTTTGATCAGCATTAGCTCTAGATACAGGATATACTTGTAAAGCATCCATACCAATTCGTGGATTATAAACTTTCAACTTGCAATATCCTGAGTCGACAACAAATACAATTCCATCAACAGTTAAAGAAGTTTCGGCTATATTTGTTGCTACGACACATTTCCGTAAACCTCCTTCTGAACGTTGAAAAATTTTAGCTTGTAAATCTGAAGGCAATTGTGAATAAATGGGTAAAATAGAAAGTGGAGGAGCTGATTCGATTTCTGCTAAACGTTCTTTTAAAGCTTCACAGGTAACTTCAATATCTTCTTGACCGGGCATAAATACTAATACATCGCCGGATCGAGGTTGTAAATGAATTTGTAACACCTGTTTTACTGCAGCATCGACATAATCTTCTACTGGATTTTTTGCATGTAATACTTCAACTGGAAATGTACGACCTGGAATTTGGAATGTTGCAGCATTTCCAAAAAATGCTGAAAATTTGCTAGAATCCATTGTAGCAGATGTTACAATCAATTTCAAATCATGCCGTCGAGCTACAACCTATATATTTTTTTATATAAATGATCACACATATACAAAAATATATTATATTTATAATGAAATTATAAATATTATATTTACCTCTCTTAGTAAACCAAATAAAACATCAGTGGATAAAGATCTTTCATGAGCTTCATCCATAATGATTACACTATACCGATCTAAATCCCCTTCTCTTAAACTTTCTCTTAATAAAATACCATCAGTCATATATTTAATAACAGTCTGTAAATAAATATAAAATTATTTATTTTAAACTTATCCAATTATTATTTTAAAAATTCTAAAATTGTATTAATCTAAAAATATAAGACATACATCTTTTGAAGTACAATCTTCGAAACGAATAGCATAACCAACTTTATCTCCTAAAGTAGTAGCCATTTCATCAGAAACTCTTTTTGCCACAGACATAGCAGCTACTCTTCGAGGTTGTGTACATCCAATTATACCATAATGACTATAACCATCTTCATGAAGATATTGAGTTAATTGTGTAGTTTTTCCACTACCAGTTTCTCCAACAATAACTACCACACTATTTTCTCTAATTACATTTAACAATTCTTGTCGTACTGCAAATACTGGAAGACTTCTTCTTTGATATTGAATAGATCTGTATTTAGCTTCTCCAGTAACTTCATCATTTCGTATATGACGAGCATATTTTTGACCAGCTTTAAAATCAGTTTCTTGTCCTGGATCTTCTCTATCATCTTTATGTCTATCACGTACTCCCATGATATTACCAATATGAGTTCCAGCTAGTTCCCAATGTTTCTTTTGTGCCTTTTCCTTTCTTTTTGTTCACGATATGCACGTACTAAAGCTGATCCCTTTCTTGCTACAAGAGCCATATCAGAAGTAGGATCACGCACAGGTACAACAGGTTCTGGTTGTTTAGTAAATACAATTCGACCTAATAAATTTTGATTAAATATTTATATATAAAATCGTAATAAATTAATATTTAACATATTTGTTTATACTATTTTATAAATAAAATTATCAATTATAGGGAAGATATTTTACCATCTAAAAATGGTGGAACAACATTATGAACTAAAAGATGTACTCTGGTTTCCCCTTCATCATCAGGATCATCATCATGATCTAAAGAACTTACAACACCAGATGTTAACATTCTGTTGCGTTCCCATAATTCATTATCTTTGTTAATTTGTCTTTGTTGTGCTGAAAGACGTTTTTGTCTCTTTGCTTCTAACTCCATTTCTTTTTTACGTGTATATTCTTCAGATACATCAGCAAATGCATGATTTTCTCCATCATCTAAACCATACCATTCTCTGTCTAATCTAAAAATAATATCTATTAATATATATGTATATATATATATATATATATATATATTTTGTTCACGATATGCACGTACTAAAGCTGATCCCTTTCTTGCTACAAGAGCCATATCAGAAGTAGGATCACGCACAGGTACAACAGGTTCTGGTTGTTTAGTAAATACAATTCGACCTAATAAATTTTGATTAAATATTTATATATAAAATCGTAATAAATTAATATTTAACATATTTGTTTATACTATTTTATAAATAAAATTATCAATTATAGGGAAGATATTTTACCATCTAAAAATGGTGGAACAACATTATGAACTAAAAGATGTACTCTGGTTTCCCCTTCATCATCAGGATCATCATCATGATCTAAAGAACTTACAACACCAGATGTTAACATTCTGTTGCGTTCCCATAATTCATTATCTTTGTTAATTTGTCTTTGTTGTGCTGAAAGACGTTTTTGTCTCTTTGCTTCTAACTCCATTTCTTTTTTACGTGTATATTCTTCAGATACATCAGCAAATGCATGATTTTCTCCATCATCTAAACCATACCATTCTCTGTCTAATCTAAAAAATAATATCTATTAATATATATGTATATATATATATATATATATATATATATATATTATATATAATATAATATAAAATAAGAAATATACAAATAATAAAAAAAAAATTTTTTAATTATTGAATATTACAATACCTTTGTTGCTCTTCTTCCCACAATTCTTTTTCCTCTCCCTCAATGCTAGGTGTAGCACCACTAGCTTTTCGATCTCTATTCCATGAATTATATTTATATGAAGGTGTAAATTCACTTCTAATACTATCTCGACCATCTTTACTATTATAAATATTAGGTGTTGGATGATCCCAACTGGATTTTCTTGGTTCTTCATCTTCATCATCATCCCAATTACTTCTGGATGTTGAATCCTATAATAATACAATAGCAAATTCTCATTAAATTTTATTATTTATGCACAATACAGTTTATGTACTGTTAATTATTTAAAACAACTTGATGATAATAAATTTATATAAAAAATTATATATTTACTTTTGTTTTAAATATTGGAGTTTGCGGTTCATCTTTAAATCTTAAAGGTGTTTGTCGATTACTATCCCTAATACTATCTCTACTTCTACTTCTTTCTCTATCTCTATGCCTATCTCTATCTCTATAATTATGTTTATGATGTTTGTCCTGTGCACTTAATCTTTGATGTTTTAATCGCGCTTCTAATCTTTGTTGTGCTTCAGAATTCACTCCTCCAGTATGAGTTGGAGTTTCTTCAGCATAAGATCGATATTTCCTTTCTTTAATTTCTGATTTTGGTGAATTTGACTTAGATTTTAAATTATTTTCTTGCAAATTTTCTTGTCTTTTTCGTTTTGCAAGCTTATCAAGACCCAAAACAGATACTTGAGGTTTTTTAAATGTATGATCAGAAGACTTTTTTCGAATAATCAAACCTCCTACTTGATTTTTATCAGTTCCTTCTAACCTATACACATTTGAATCATTTGATGTATCCATTTTTTATTATGAATTATCGCGGTTTTTTTATGCACGCTATCAAAAATACGCACACATTACGTCAATTCACATACATTTAGTAAGAGATCTATAGCGACCTCTATATCTATTCAGTTGTTCTGCCGAAAATTGCATTTCCGCTAAAAAATTAATTAATAGCAATATTTTGAACTATTATATTGTATAACTAGCAAAAATTCTTAAAATTTTGTAGTTTTGCAAATAAATTTTTAAATTATTGAATTTCAATAATTAATAATTATTTTCGAATTCTATGTCAATATTTATAAAAGCCATAAAAAAAAATTAAATTAATTTATTCTTTCTTAAGGTTTAATTATTTTAAAGTAAATAAATTCTTGATTCGCATTTTTCTTGTCTTTTGTATATTAAATTTCACAGTAAATTTTTATTTTCTCAGTGTTGTTAACCAATCTTACTATTTCAAGATTTTAATCATGTGATTTTATTTATATCTTTTGACTCGTCTCATTGGACAGAGCATAATATATAGTGTTACTTATTAACTTTTTATAATATATTATATTGTACAAATTGTTTTTTTATTAACATGGAAGAAATAACAGTGTAATATTCAAAAGTTCTTAAAGATATTGTTTATGAAAGTAATGCTTTTATTATAAAAAATAATACTGAATATAAAATTATAATGAAACTTTATTATGTGTGAATTATTAAAAGATATAAATTTAAAAATTAAATTTTAATATTTATTTGTTGATAAAGATAATATTTTATATAGCATTATCAATATATAAGAAGTGATAATGATAGAATCATCAACATGGAATACAAAAAAAGACGAAACAATATATAAAACGGCAGGTTCAATACATTTGCGAAAATATGGACAGTTTTTCGAAAATTTAGCAAAGCAAACATGGAAAAAAGATTCTACATTAGAATATTTTATGGAAGGTCCTCTTCGGCTTATATATAAACCTGTTGAGGATATTAGCTTGATAAGTTTAATAGAAATGGAAAATAAATTTTTATCAAAATTACTTGCTGCAGTTGCTGGTACTTGCAGAGAAATTAGACTTCTTGTAATGGAAGCTAAAACATTCTATAAAAAATTGTTTACTCATGGAGAGAAAGGAACAGAAAATAATCAGAATAATATCACATCTCTTCTATCTGATTTGCAAGATTTATTTGTTTTTGTAAATAGAATATGGACAGTTACACATTTAACAACAGAACAATTATCTAATCTAGCCAGTGATTCTAATGATATATATTTACCTGTATTAATAGAACATTTTATTGATTTGTTTATAATTGTTTTAACATTAGATGAAATTGTTGAATCTCAACCATCATTACAAGAACAATGGAAAAAATATAGAATGAATGTACGTTCTATTATGCACAATCCATCACAATTTGGTATAAATGAATCTAAATTACATGTATTCAATAAGTTATTGAAAGATTTACAAGAAAATTTATTAAAGAAAGTTTTATTTTCTAAGACAATAGAAAGTGTAATGGATGTGAATAAAGGACCTATAATGAATGAACATATTACCAATTATTTAAAAAATTTAATAATAGATATAGAAAATAAACCAAATGATTATGTTTCATTAAATAAAAATTGGATTGAAATAAATATTGGTATTGTTATAATAACAAAATTATTTGGTACCTGTGATAAAAGATTAATTAAAAGAGTGCTTGAAAATAATAAAAAATTCTATGCTGTAAATTTAATTGGAAATGTTATATGGATTCCAAATAAATTTTTAAGTGATTTTTTGCCAAAGGAAGCTGGAAATAGTATTAATCAACAAATAGGAGAAAAAATATTATGTTCGAGAATACAGAAGCTTTCACAAACTGTAAATAATTTAATTCAGAAAGCAGTAACATGGTGCATTGATATGCAAAATATTTTAATGAAAACAAGTCTTCAAATTTCAGATATTGGACAAAAACAATCTTTATTAGTTGATTTAGTTGCTCTTTTATCTCAAATTAAAGAAATCATATCTTTTATAATAAATATGCATGCAATTCTTATTAAACCAATGAATCGCAATACTGTCCAATTAATTTGTAGATTAATAGAAATACAAAAATCTTTACAGACTACATTTTATATTTTGGGACCAGTTATAGTGCAATCACAAAGTCAAGTATTACAGTATTTAAGTTATTATATATTAATTACATTAGAAACTGCACGTAAAAGTTTAATTCAGAAAGATAAAGGTTATAGCAAAGAAAAATTGGACTCATTATCATTAGTGGGTTTAAGTATGAGATTATTAAATGGACCACCAAGTGCAGATAGGAGATTAATAATTAGATGTGCCCTAGCATGTGCTAATCAATTAACAGATACTTTCAAAGAGGAGGATATGGTGAAATTACGTTTTTCATTAAATAATTATGATATTATTGCTGAGTTACACAATATTATTATAGATCTTTGTGATTATTCTATATTATTGTATCACCAGAATATAATCCCAGCTTATTTTTCTTCTGTAACAGATAGTAATTTAAGTATAAATCATATAGTTCATTTATTCAATGCATTTAACAGTACTATAAGCGAACAAGAAGGATTAAATTTAAAACAAAAAAGAATTACACAATTAAAAGAAATGTTAACCAAAAATATATTAGAACCTGTTTGCCATGAGATTGAAACTAATTTAAGACTTCATGTTCATGAGCATTTAAAGTTGAATTCTACAAATCCCTTCAATATTGGAGTAAAAGATGGTGGAAGAATAGTGCGATCATTGCCTCTACCTCTAGCAAATAGTATGATATATGCTAAAAGATTTATTGAACATTATCTTGATGATATGTTTTATAATCTCACTACAGTGGCACTGCATGATTGGAGAACATATCGAATGATGCATGCTTTAGCACATTATAAATTAAATCTCGATACTGTTCAAAATCCCTTGCCTACACAAACCTTGGAACAGGGTTTGGATGCTTTAGAAATTATGAGAAACATTCATGTATTTGTTTCAAAATATTTGTATAATTTAAACACTCAAACGTTCATTGAACATACTAGTAACAATAAGCATTTAAATACTATTGGAATTCGACATATAGCAAATTCTATTAGAACACATGGAACTGGTATTATGAGTACAACAGTTAACTTTGTTTATCAATTTCTTCGTATAAAATTACACACATTTTCACAATTTCTTTTTGATGAACATATAAAATCAAGATTAATGCGAGATATAAGATTTATTAAAACTCAGAGAGAAAATGGAACAACACCTTATACATATGAAAGAGCAGAAAAATTCCAAAAAGGAATCAGAAAATTAGGTATGACACCTGATGGCTTAAGTTATTTAGATCAATTTCGGCAATTAATAACTCATATTGGAAATGCATTGGGCTATGTACGATTAATCAGATCTGGTGGATTACATGCTAGTTCAAATGCTGTTTCATTTTTGCCAAATATTGATTCATCTATACCATTTGAATTAATGTGTAGAAATTTAAATTATAGTGCAACAACTCAAGCAGCAGCAAAATGCTTAGAAAATGATATTGCAAATTTAGTACGACATTTCACAGAGGGTATACAATATTTCAAACTTCTTGTTGATGTATTTGCATCTGCATTTCGAAATACTGAATCACATCATTTGCAACAATTTTATGCTATTGTACCTCCATTAACATTAAGTTTTATTGATAACTCGATATCAAATAAAGAAAAAATGTTTAAGAAAAATCAAATAGGTGCAGCTTTTACTGATGATGGTTTTGCAATGGGAATTGCTTATATAAATGCTCTTTTAAATCAATCATCAGAATTGGATAGTTTACATTGGTTTAAAACAGTTGAACAATATATAAATGCTGAAAAACAAGTTGCAGAGGGTAATAAAAACATTCATGGAGATGAAAAATTGCAACAAACAAGGGCATTAACATTAAAACGCTTAGGTGAAAGAAGTGCTGAATTTCAACTGCTATACTATAGTTTATCTGGAGCTAGAGTATTCTTTAAACAATCTGATACATAATATTTCATAATGTATCATTGAATTAATTAATTATAATGTGATTATAGTTAAATATTTTTGTTCATATTTTTCATTACTAATGTATAAAAAAATATCAAATTATATAATAAATAATGTTATGTGCTTTATAAAAAATAGCTTTAAATGCTAAAAACAGCTATAATTATATGCTATAAATTTATTTTATTTTCATAATTCTTTTGTAACTTGTACTATATATATTACAATAATAAGAAAATAAAAATACAGTAATATATAAAATAAATTTTGACTTATTAAAGAGACATAGTTTACAGTGAACTCTCCATATTTATAGAAATAAGTCCCAAGATTTATGATTAATATACATCATTATAATACATATATTATACATACCTATAATAAAATTTAATTTATTAATTACTAAATTTTAAAAAAAATAATAATGAAATCTAACAATTTAAATAATTATGAATAATGAAAAACAAAAAAAATTAAATGTTAAAAAACAACAATATAATAATACAATATAATAAATACAATGTTACATGATAGCTAAAATAAAGTAAATGATAAAGATATATGATGCATTATTTATATCGGTATCTATGTAAAATGTAATTCTGATTCTGGTAATCTAATAGAAATTCAGGAATTTTTTATTTAATTTTTGAGATCTAAGCATAAATATATAAAACCATGAATATGGAGCTTTTACTATTTTTTTTATATATTAAAATTCAATAATTCTAAATTTATTTTGCTTCTTTATATATTATGTTTAATTACACTTACATATAAATATTTTTTAATATCAATAATATATATAATTGCAATTCTTGATATTTATGATTAAATAAGTAATGGCTAGATGAACAGACTAGAATTTATTATGTTTACAACTTTTAAATAGATAGGAGTTTTTCAAAAATGTATTTATAAATAAAAAAAGCATTATTATTGCATGTAGCAATATAAAAAGAAATCTGCCTTTATATTACCAAAAATTCATATAAAAATCAAATATTAAAAAACAAATTTGTCAATTTTAAATTTCATTTTAAATGTTTATTATAGCTTTGGATAATTTTTTTATTATTATTCACTTGATATTCATAAATCATTTATTCTATATTTTAACAATATTATGTTCTTATAAATTCAAAAATTATAAACATTTTGTTTTAAATAAATATAAATTACGAAAAACTATAAATTTTTTAAATTATTACCAATATTAAATTACAGATAATATAAATAATATGAATTATATATAAAATATCATATCATAAAGCTATAAAATGTCACATTAAAAAAATTAAAAATTAATATTTTTTAACAAAATTTAATAAATTCTTATTTCAACAATGACTGTTGTAATTATTGTACTGTTAGTATTTAGAACGTGTACTTGTTCATATTACATTATTAAAATATGTAATATTTTGTAACTTTGCATTTTTTTTAGACATCTATAAAGCTATTATCTTTATATTTTTTGATCTTTCTGTGCTTTTGAATTAAAATTATTTAAATAATTTAATAATTATTATGTAAATTAACTGTACGGAATATGAATAATTCAGTTCTAATTTAAATATATAATCCACAATAATAAAACTATTATCATCTAATCTTTAAATCTTTTTTATAATTTTCCATTCAGTTATTAATATTGATACGGATATGCTTTTTTTTTTTGCTTCTGAACTGGATAAATTGCTGTAAGTATCAATTGAAATTGTTTGTAATTGTTTTTCCTGACAAATTAAGAAAAGTATTCTAATTTCTAAGATTGAAATCTAGATGATTCTTCTGAATCTAATAAATCGTCACAGGAAGCTGTTGGAGGCAATAACTGTCTACCTCCTCGTTTTTTACTGCGTGTAAATACCTTAGTAAGTTGTGCAAACTTACGTCGAGACACTGAAACATAATAAAAATAAAAGTAAAATAAATTTTATAATTTTTATTTATGTGTTATATATATATGATATATAATTATTATATAATAATTTAATGATAATATGATAATAATAAATTATAGAAATTATTATATACTTTTGCCCATATTTTTTAGTCTTTCTTTAAAAAGATCTTCATCATCATGGCCAATTTGATTATCACATTTTTCAAGAGTTGTTCCTTGAATTTTTGTATCTATAATAAAAAAAATATATATATATATGTAATTGGAATTTTATATTTTTCTTAATTTTCTTATATTATAAAAATTATTATTGCTTATTACAAACCATTTTCTAAAGTTGACAGAAAGTCTTCATTCCAACGTAATTCAGCCATAAATTCTTCATTTTGAAGAACATAGCAATTCTTTCATCTTCTATCATTGAATTTTCTTGTAAATATGAGGAATCTAAACTATCTTCAGAAACTTGAGGAAGTCGAAGAAATGTATCTGGCAATGGTCCTAATAAAGCAGGTTGCCACTTACGTATACTTTTTGAAGATATTGTTGAATCTATTTTATGTGATTTAGAAGTACTTGGTGATTTTTCATTTTGCTCTAATTCACTTCTAATTTTTTCATTTTCATTATCTGTACTCATAGTAAGTAACTGATCAATTGTTGTATCTACAGCTCCTTGATTAGATCTTAATACAGCCTAAAAGATTTAAATAAATTATAAAATTTTTTAATTTTTAATTAATTTATTTGCATACTTTTAAATGCTAAATAATATGATTTTTTATATAGATACAAAATTATTACAAGTATTATCATATTAATAAAAATATTCTAATATTCTATTTTTTTGTTTAATTCTTTGTCTAAAAAAATTAATTAAAAAAATTAAATTCTTTTCAATATGTTTCATTTTTAGTAATGATATTCAATCTTATAATTTAATTTTATTTTAAATATATAAAAGAATATTTACATATTACATATACAATATTTAAATAAAAATTAAATATTATTATTAATTAATATATATTCTATAATGTATTCTATTTTAAAAATTTATATTAAATATTTTTAAAAGTGAATATGAGATATTAATATTTTTTTATACAAATTCTTAAAAAGTTCAGCATATTATTCAATGTTTCAATAAAAAGAGTTGAATATTATATATTATAATATATTTAGAATGAAGATTTTTTTATGATTATATAATATAGCTTAATACTTTTATTAAATAACTTACCTCAATCACATCATCATCCATTTGTGGAAACATGTTTTTAAAATCAGCCATTGCCTGATAAAATTCTAAAGTAGTTTGTTGTTGTTGTTGCTGTTCCATAGCAGAGGCCATTATGTAGTTATTATAAAGTTGCTAATCTAAATTAAATAATTGATTCTAATTATAAAGCTTTTATTATTTTATTATAAATTTCAATAATATAATGTTATCTCACCTCAACAATTCAAAAGATTTAAAATATTTCAAAAACATGAATATGTAAATAAATTATCATCCATAATGAATAATATCAGTTTTTTATTATTACGTTGTCATATTTTTTATTTAAAAGAATTAATTACATTTTATAATAGTTTTTTACTTAATTAAATATATATTTATATGATATAATTAATTATGTTATATGAATTATCTACCCACATAATTAAAAATTAAGAAATAATGTCATTAGTTGCAAAGAAGATAAGCAACTGTCAAAATTTATTGAGATTTATATAAGCTTAAGACGTTTCTTCCTTAAAAAATATGAATATGAAGTTATTCAGAAAGTGCGAAACTTCTTACAATGGTGTCTCAATTTATCTAGTGATTTAAGCCCTTGTTTTTTATTGGTTTATTTTGGACAATTTATTTATTTTAGTTTGTTTTTTTATTTAATTTGAATATAAATCACATTAAATATTATTTATTTTTAACATATATATATACATATTATATATATGTATATATATGTATCTGCATGATAAGAATTAATTTTAAAAATGAAAAAAACAGATATTACTATATATACAAAAAAAAATGGTAACTTTATTATTACTTTTAAGTCAATATCATTGAATTCAGACAAATATTTTAATGATAAGAAATTATTGACATTTAAATGTCAAAATACATATAAATGTCTATAGATTAATATCAAAAGTAAATATAGAATGTGAAGTTTTGTAATATTTTTATTGTAAAATAAAAAACTAAAAAATAATGTTAATTAACAAATATATTTTTTAAGTTTTTTTAATTATTTCTATTTTTTATAATATTAATTAAATACAAATTTTTATGAATTAAACAAATTATTTTATATATTTATTGATAAAAATAAATATTTAAAAGATTTATATCATAAAAATTTAATATTATATAAAATATATTTATATGATAAAATGAATTGCAATATGTTTGATATGAATGATTTAATTAAATATTTTCTCTGTTGCACATCAATAAATACACTGGAGATACTTGTATGTATATGAATTTTATATTTTTTAAATAATTTCTTAAGTAATTAAATAATTTTAAAATATTACATGTAGCTTCAATCTTCTCAAGAAAGTTTTGATTATTTGCTTAATTTAGAAAAACAAGAGGAAATTTTGAAAAATACAGTAAATAGTGATTTAATTAAAAAATATCCAATTAAACAATCTTATCAAAGAGCATTCTTAAAATGGCTTATGAATAAGGTAATTAAATTAATATTTGTAAAAAAAAAATTAAAATGAAAATATACTTTTTTAACTTAGATTGAAGAGAAAGATGGTGAAATTTGTGATATTATGTATATTACATATTGTAATTTAATATCTTCCACAATCAAAGAATCTATTCATTATCGACACTTTTTAATAGAAAATGATTGTATTAGTATAAAAGAAAGCACAAATATTATATCAGAAGGTACAACAGGATTATGTAGTTGGCAGGTAGTAATTATATATATTTATTATAAAATATTGATATTTATATTGTCTGGATGATTTTATATTATATTTTTGAATTATAATATCATTTATGATTTGTAGGGAGCTATAGAATTAAGTAAATGGTGCATGAAAAATAAGAACAAATTCTATGGAAAAGTTATTTTAGAATTAGGTTGTGGAGTTGGATTAACAGGATTATATATTATTAAAAAATGTTTTCCCAAACAATATATATTTACAGATTGTCACAAAATTGTTCTTGAAATGGTTTCTGAAAATATTAAATTTAATTTATTGAATAATGAAACCAAAATACAACCAGAATTAAAATATGATAGATTGAAATTGCAATTAAAATATAATTATACAGATGTTAAAATAATGGAATTAAGATGGGAAGATATTAATAAATATGTGAACGAACAATGGACTGTACCTGATATAATAATTGGAGCTGATATTTTATATGATGTTAAATCATTTTATGAATTAATATTAGGATTAAAAAAATTATTGTCTTTTGTTATGGATGGATATGCTATTATTGCAGCAACAATTCGCAATGAAAATACTATTTCACAATTTCTTTATCAATTAGGTATATCTTTTAATTCATGAACTAATATTTTTCAATAAATCAATTAAATTAATATTTTTCAATAAATTATATTAAAAACTAATTTTTTTTTTCAGAACATCACAATCTTTCTTTTGAAGAATATAATATATCGCAGCAAACAGTGCATGTACAATTAACAAATTTACCTATTAAAATATTAAAAATTTTTTGGAAAAGATGATAAATTTTTATTGATATTGTTAACTATGAGATAACTATAAGTATAAAAAAATTAAATAGCTTCATTCTAAAAATTATTATATATTCTAAAATAATTATAAATTAATTTTATTAAAATTTTGAAAAATTTTAAAATAAATATTTAAAAAGAAAAATGTATAAATTAGTAGAAAAAATATTCTTATAATAATTTTAATTTTTTTATGGTTTATATTCATATATATTTTAAATTTTAATTTTGGCAGAGTATATTTGTTTTTAATAAACTTTTTTTTAAATAAATCTTTATTTTTATCTTTTATTTATTTTATTTCATTAAAACATTTCAAGTTAAAAGTAATAAAAATATAAATTATTGCAATTTAAAATTTCTAAAAATTTCATAATAAATACTATTAAGTATATAATGCAACATAATGTAAACATATTATATTATATTCAAGTTTTATTATAAGTGTAATATATTAAGTTGGGGTAAAAGTAATGTATATTTTTATTAATTTCTAATAATATGCTTTACTCATATTAAGTTGCATTAATAAGTTATTTTTTTATTTAAAATATTACATAATGTTATTTATTATTTTATAATATATCAATAAATTTAATAAAAATATTGAATTCTTTAAATAAAATAATAAATGAAACCAATTGATATAAAAGATTAATATTATATTTTTTGTTATTATAGTATTTCATAAATATTTAGATATAATAAAAAATTTTCTATAATTAAATGTCAATTACTTTGGTCGAGTCTAGAAGGTTTTAAATGTAACCTTTGAATTACATATTCAGGCATGCAGTATGTTGGGTTAATTTTTTTTAAAGGATAATCAGTATTTAAAAGGGAAAGCGCAGTTAAGCCAAAAAGAGTATGAAAAGGATCAGCAATATCACCCGGACGATCACTAAATCCTCCTGATTCTATATCTTGACATGCTAATACAAACTTTACCTGTAAATTAACATTAAATCAAAATTATAATAAAACTTGTCTACTATTAAATTCTAATGATATGATATATGATTTCTAACAATGTATATTAAGCTTTATATAACATAATATTAAACTTTTTCGATTTAATTTTTTATCAATTGAAAAATGTTTTAATTAGAAAAAAAGGAAAGGATTTCAATATAAATTTTATATAATTCCAATTTATCATATTCTATCTCTAATATTAAAAATAGAATAATTATTCATTTTCACCATTGTAAAAATTACATAATTATTATATATACATACATAATTACAAAATTACATAATTTCTAATGATGAATTTATAAGATATATTATTATTTTTTTTAAATTTTCAAATCAACGAACATGTTATCTAATAAGAAAAAAATATTAACTATAAAAAATATTATTAATTATTAAATATTATTCTGTTTCTTTTTAATTTAACTTCAAAAATAACCAATGAAAAAATAATCAAATGATAAAATGTTATTTTAATAATTTATTAATCTATTTTTTAAAATAATATATATAAAAGAAATATATACCAATTGTTCTTTATTAACCCAATGAAGGCGTCCTAAAATTGTAAGTGCAGAAAGAACCCACCAAGAATAGCAAACATCAGGCAACTTTTCTGGTCTACCATTTAAACCTCCAGATGGAAGTTGTCTTTCACAAAGCCACCAACTTAATTGATCTGCATCTATTAAATGAAGATTACCTGGCAATATTTAATATTTTTATGTTATTGACTCTCTAATAAGAATTCAATGAATTGCATATATCTTATTGTATTAAATATTTAGAAGAAAAAAAAAATCAAAACCAAAAAAAATTACCAGTTATTGATAAAAGTCCTATGGAGCAATAAATCATACCAGCATGACTTTCAGCTCCAGGCTTTGATCCAAAACCACCATCAAAATTCATACATTTCATTACAAATTCAACTGCTTTATTAATATCTATTGCATCCAATCGATTCTAAAATAATATTTTTAAAATCTATTTTAAAATAATTAATAAAAAATTTCATTTAATATAAATAATTTTTTTTATACATATGCATATATAAATATTTAGAAAGTTTTACTTGCCAAAAGAGATAATGTTGCCACAGCACAAAAAGAAAATCTCATATCAACTTCACCCCAAATGTCACCAGTAAAACTTCCATCTGGTTGTTGTCTTTCCTTTACATATTTTATAACTTTTTCTATATCAATAGTATCCAATGCATCATATATACATAATATTTGAACTGCACTCAAAGTATAAAGAATATGTGGATCATGTTGTAAACTAGCAGCTATACCACCACTTTCTGTTTGACACTGAGCAATAAATTCCAATACTTCATTTCGATTTGTTTGTTCGAGTTTACCCATAAGATCCAATGCTGTTAAACCCCAATACATTCCAGACATTCTCATATGCTCTGTCATACAATACATCTAAAATTTAATAATATTTCTATTTATTATATAATAAGTTCAATTTTAATATATATATATGTGTGTAATTAATCTTTATTATATATAAAATATATAAAATAAAGTGTTGTATATAATAGAATTTTGTTCATACAAATTCCATTTGACAATTGATAATAACAATATTTAAAATAAAAATTGTTATTATCATTGAATTCTATGAAAGAACTTTTAAAATAAATATAATACTTACATATTCATCCTTATCAGTGCCATAAGAAGTAAAAAGTTTGCATGCTTTTCCAATAATAATTCAGGAACTGAAGTTGGAAGTTCAATATCATGTTTTAATACTGGCTAAAATATAAATTGAAAATTTCTGTATGTAAATAATAATGAATATTAAAATAGACATATTTATAATTTGATATTATAATAAATCAATTAAAAATTATATAAATTATATTTTATTTAATAAAAATCTATTGAGAAATATATGTATAAATAAATTTATAATATATAAAAAGAATATATAAAAAGAAAAACTTTTGAATCTTTTAACCTTAATAAATAATTTGTATTAAATTATTTTTCTACTTACCATATTAAAAAGCGATTAAAAAAATTTGAATAAATTATTATGTTTTATCAACTTTCATTCGTTTAAATAAATTTGTAACTCTTTGAACTCAATACTTTTTTGATAAAAAATATTCATATGTTACCCATCATTTGTTCACCTAACCTCAAAATTAAAAAACTATATAAAATTAACGTTCTTCGTCATGAAAGCAGAAAGGCGCGAATATTCAAAAAAATAAGAAGTAAAGGAAAAGGAAATAAATAATCATTATAAAATTTTGTATAATAATATTTTACAAAAAAAAAAAAAAAAAAGAAATAATAAAATTTTTTTGTAATTATCATTAAAAAAAAGAAAAAAAGATTATTCCTATGTAAATACTTATTATTTATTTTTAACTAAATCAGAAGCATAAAATAACTTCTCATTTTGAATAGAGATGATTGGAATACAGATATATTTAATTTTTTATATTTAATAATTTTTGTAGAAAAACGGTATTTATTTAACATTTTAATTTTTTTCTTTTTTTTCAAATTTTTTATATTCAGGAACTCCAATGTTCACTAAAACAGATAAAATTTTAATAATGTTATTATATAATCAATTTATAATAATTATAATAAAATTATTTTATTTTTCGAATAGTATTAATATAAAATAATATAAAATAATTTAATGAGATTGTCAAATTTATTCATTTAAATTTGTTTAAACATATTTTAAATTTCTTATACATTTAAATAATATTATTTAACCATAATTTAAAATTTTAATATATTCTTTTTTTATAATTTTTTTATTTTAATTTTACCTAAATTAATATTCAGCTGGATATAGATTCATCATCTTCATGATCAGAATTCATACTCTTGATATCCTCATCATTTTGCTGTTCTTGATCATCTTGATCATCTTGAACTTCATCCTCTTGATTTGACATTTGTTCCCAATCTTCATCAGATTCACTTTCTAAATCTTCATCTTCAATTCCACCATCTTCATCTGATGAATCTAACAAAATAAGTTTTAAATAAATATTATAAGATAAAAATAATTTTTTAATTTATAAATTGCATTTTTTAAAAACTTAAAATAATAATAATATAAATCTAAAAAAAAAGTAAGCAATTATAATAAAATAAAATTTTAATATGAACCTGAATCTTGATAAACGAGACAATTTTCGGTAACATCTTTATCGTGTTCTTCCATTGTTTGGGAAATTTGACCAGTAACAAGAGAAACTCGACCTTTAAGTTTTGAGAGTTCTGTCAGAAGAGCTAATTTTGCATCTATTGAACTTAAAATTGGTCCAAATAATTCCACAAGATCTGCTTGTGATAATAAATGTCCTGCATGTGTCGTTAGCAATGCTTCCAACCATCGCACAGCAATTTTACTCCTATAATATAATGATTAAGAAGTAGAAAAAGATATAATTTATAAGATAGCCATTAATAGGATGAATATAGTAAGACAGGAATTAAGTAAAATTTATTACAATAAATCGAAGTCAATTTATTATTATTTCATATGCTGCAATATTTTCTAATCAATAAGAAATTTCTTTGATCAATAAACGCGAGTTACTAAAGATTCATACCTTAAATCTGTTCTATTTCCGAATCCGAGCCGCGTATTTAGAGTATTAATAATTACGATAATTTTGTTTCACTTTACAATCTTGATTCGACGAAAAATATATTTGACCAAGTTCCAATTTTATACTAATGCTTGTAGTCAACGCGAATTCTTCAGTTAATATAGTTTTTAATTTTATGGAGAAAAGTATAAAAAATAATTTATGAATTCACTGTAAGATGTGAAGAAAATATCGATTGCATTTATTTATATAGATTTTATTTTTTAAAATAAAATAATTTTTAAAAATCATATTAACATTTACTTTCTTGGAAAAAATTAAAAACTGATTTTATCATTTACACAATATTATTTGAAAATATAAGATTTAAGATTTTTTCCAAAATAAATATAATAATAATATTATTTTTAATCATAATTGATTTCTATTGTGCAAATGAATGTCACAATTTTCTGTCCGTGGATTAAAAAAAATGTTAATTCACGATTACTTTGATATAAATCAAAAAAATTTTATTATATTACTTTGATTTATTAAACAAAATAATTGGTAAATATCTTGAAATAAGAAAATGATTACATTTCTTTTCTGAAAATTCAAAGATATATTTTGAAATATCCGTATATATATAATTCCACAATTTCGTTATAAAATGATAAAATATAATATTATGTTAATTTCATAAGAAATACGTTTTCTTTCGTAAATGATTTTTATAAATGTGCATTTGTAATTAAGAGATTAAATATAATAAAAAAAAATAATTAACATTTGAAAAATCTTACGTGTAAGTTTTACCCTGGAGAAGAATAGTGAGTTCTTTAAGAAGTGGTCCAATTGCTTGTATTGGTAGTTTAGCAATAGTATTCTTAATAATAGACTCATTCTTTGTGAGCAAGATATTACTCAAAATAGTTTTATCTTTACTGTTCAAGCCTTGTATTAGAAGTTGTGTCCTGTTGTTACCTGTACTAATAGTTTTGCCTATAGAATTGCTTTCAGCACTTAAGCTTAAGTTTTCCAATCTGTCTTTCAATAACAATTGAGATCCTGAACTGTTTTTACTCTTCTTTTGCGTAGTTTCTATTATTCCTAAAAAAATAAAAAAAAAAATTAACTTATGTTAATATCACAATTAGATATTAAAAAAAAAAAAAAAAAAAAAAAATACCTGGTGGAAGGTATTCAACATTGTCTTCAATTATAGTTGATTTCACTTTAGAAATTTCTTCTTTCCTTTCTTTATTCTTTTATATTCTGAACGTACTAAATACTGCACTTTATCAGAAAAATCTGGTATCACTTTTTCAAATGTAGGATTAAGATATGTTCCATATGCTAATAATAATTTCTGGTCATCTGTTAACATTGCATTTAAAATAGAAATTTGTTGTACTTCATCTTTTTGACTTATATCGGAAGCAACTGCAATATTTAAACTAGGCTTTAAAGGTTTTGATCGACCATTTGGTTGATATTGAAATAATTGTGCTTGTCCAGATCTTGTTACAACTAAAACCATCACTTGAGAATTTGCTGAGACATTTGCAGAAACACTTATTGGATCATCTTGTAAAGCTAAACTTGCTACGGAAGTTCTTTCATTTCTTTGCTGAAAATATTTTCTTAATTAATGAAATATAATTACATACTAATTTATTAATTTTTTAATATATTAATATTGAAAAATGCATAGTATTCTACAAAATATATAAATTTATAATAAAAAATATTGATATTTTTAATTTCAATTCATTTATAATTTCAAATTCATAATTTCAATTTATTTTTAAAAAAAATCATTTTAGTCATCAACAATAATCATTTTAATAACATTTTGAAACAAGTAATTTTGTATTATTAACATTCTAAAAATTCTTAAAACTTAAAAAAATATATCATTTGATTATTTTTTTATCATCATCATATATCATCATCATAATTATCATATGATTATTTATTTAATTATTAAAAAACTACTTGTAGAAAAATGAAACTTTTTATATTGTTTTATGAATGTTTCATTGCTATTTTTTGCAATTATCTTGTAAGATACTTCAAAATAAAACACAGAATAATAATATATAAAATAATAATCATATGGCAATATTATATGAATATTGTAATAAATAAATTATTAATAAAAGCTTTAAGATAAAAAGAAAAAAAAAAGAAATATCTTACTTCATCTAATGCCCAAACACTGAGGTAACCATCGCCACAAGCACCACTAATAACATAATTATTTCCAGATGTCATTTTTATAGTATGAAGACATGTCACTTGATTAGCATGACCTGTAAATGTTCTTATTAACCGCTTAGTATTTAAATCCCACCATTTAACAACTCTTTCTCCTGATAACAAATTATTTCCATCTGTTGATACTGCTAATGATGTAGTTTTTCCTTTTCCTGATTTCCATTTACATTTTACACCATTTTCTTGAAAATTCCATTGAATAATATGATGATCATCTGATGCAGTGATAAAGCCAACATTTTCAGACCATGTTGCTGCAGTAACTGAACCAGAATGGCCATCTAATTGTGCAGTAACCGAAGAAGTTGTTGTATCGTAAAGTGTAATTTTTCCATTTGTTGAACCCATAGCAATAATACCCTTTTGAATGGATTCTTCTGAAATTGATTTTCTTCTACGTTTCTTCCATGGTGAAGGCTAAAAATTATTAAAATATTCAAATTTCTATATTTATATAATACTTATTAATATAAATTTAACAAATTGAGTAGCGAATAAAAGTTATAACCTCAAATACGATTTTATTAAAATAAACATAATTTAATAGTAAATGTGATTAAAACAAACAAATTCATGAAATAAAATATATTTGTATTTTAAAAATATTTTTAAAAATTTAATTATAGTATCTCTTATGATATAAAATTTATAAAAAATTGTAAAAAGCATGGAAAACATAACCTATAAAGCAATAATGCAAAGTATGATTAATTAAAGATTATAAACATTCATGATGAGCTATAAGATTTAAAAGATAATTCATATTTAAAAGAATTTTTATTTTTATATAATACACAAGATGAATATATAATAAAATAAAAAAATTTAACATTAATAAAGATATGAAATAAAGAAGCACATGGTTTACCGATGTATTTGTGGTACGAGAACTGATGTAAAGCCATTCCAAAATACAACATGGAGAAGAAAGATGAAAATTGGAAACATATTCTTGTTTTAAACGACCAGTATTAGTATCCCAAATTTTTAATTTTCCATCATTTCCACAATGTGCAAAATATTCACCATCAGAAGAAAAAGCGTAATTAGCGGTAGTCGCCATTTTTGAACTATTGATATTCTAAATTGAAGTGAGCCATAGAAATTTTCCTTTTCATAAACAACTTCAATCGATACTTAAAAATCTAATATTTAAAAATCCATATTTTTTAATTGCTTTTTACATTATTTTATATTGTAATATAAAGAAAGATGTGAAAGATTATGTCATAAAAAAAATATTTAACTCGAATTTTTGTGAGTATTTTTATTTAAATAAAATCAGATATTATGATTATTAAATATTAAATATAAAACTTTGAATGAAATGCAGAAATAATAGATTTAAGATAATATAATTTAAAAAATTTTTTGTTTAATGTTGAAATAATTTTAAAACATCAATCGTGAAAGCATAGAAAGATAAATATTAGAGATTTCTATTTCATATACACTTAAAAATAACGTGTATCTATATATAAATAAAAGAGAATATCAATCATCAATATATAATATTTAATATAGTCAGAATACAGTCAGAATAACCATGTATTTCTATTGTAATTTTATTTTAAAAAACAATAAAATTAACATGATATTGAAATTGTTGAAATAAATGCATAAATTTTACAGAATATATAAATATAAATAATAAGAATGATTAATGAAAAAAAAGACAAAGATAAAGTAAAAATATTAAAATTAATGTTATCTTTAGAATATGAAAATTAAATACAAAAAAAAAAATAGAACAAGTAAGAATTAAATATTAAGAATTAACCATCAACTATCTCTCGAGTATGAAAAATATCTTTTTGAAGAATCTCTTTTCTAAAAGTACTCAAGAGACGGCGCTAATCCTAAATTCTTAACTTATCTCTTTTCTTCTTTTATTATTTATTCTCATCTATATTTTGTTTTATCTACGGCACTTTAAAGATGGCGCTAACTCTTCAATTTTATTTCCATTCTTTTTCCATTATAGCTTCTTATTTATATTTGCTTTTAATGTGTAATCACAAACAAGATACGATAATTAAAGACACATTCAACATTTTTCAAAATCAAATATATCTTAATTTTTAAAAGATAATTATTAGCTAATTATTATTAGTCAATTGTGTTTAATATGAGAATTATATCTATATAAAACTAAATTTGAGTAAAATTTTTTCTGAAATTTTTAAATATATAATTGATAAATTATAGATTGAAATTAAACATTTGAATAAATTCTATTAATACAGAAAATAGTATCAATTACTTATTCTAAATTACATTCTAAATTAATATACATTATAATAATTATTCATTATTAATTATTAATATTAAATATTAATATTAATTATTAATTATTAATTCATTATTAATAATAACTATTTATTTATTCATTTATTAATCTATTTATTCATTTATTTATTATTTTTTTATTTATTTATAATTTATTTATTATTTATTTATTATTATTATTTATATTATAATTTTATATTCGATATAATAATATACGCATGTATATATAAAAATGTGAAAAAAATAAAACATATTGGGGGATAGAAAAGAAGCAAACATTTATTATAAAATTATAATATTATAAAAATAAATGTGAAAGATATAAATGAAAAGAAAAAATAATTAATAAGTGATATTCATATCAAATTCATCCTTGTGATAAATAAGAATATCTTTGAACAACATATTAGGCCCATCATAATTGAAATCATAGAGAAGTTTGTCTAACGGAAAACCAAATGGTCTTTTGTCAAATTTGTAATCACCCCATATTCTCGAATTGTATTGATATTCCGAAGAGACTGGGCTAACGTATAAGAACAGCTGGAATGGCATTCCTTCCTTTTTGCCTCTGGGCAATAACAATCTTCCTGGGAATCCAAAAATTCTTTCATTGTAAGTGAATGGTTTGCCACTGTTGAGAGACGTTTCGATCTTTTCGTAAAATATTTCGCTCGGCTCTAAATCATTCATCGTGAAGAAACAATCTAAACTGTTACGTGTAATTTTGTTCAAACCGGAGTTCACTGTTGAAAATAATATAACAGATAATTATTGTAAGATGAAATGTAAAAGTCATCATTTTAATCTCTTCTTTTATTATTGAATAAGTAAACGAAATTGATAGAGAGAAGTAAAAATAAGTAAACTTACGATCTAGAATCCAATTGTCAATTTCGTAAAAATATTTTAGATCTTCTGGAATTTCGATCAGTTTGTGATGCGAATCGTATTTTGGTCCGATAAAAAGTCTAATGACTGCTTTCATTGGTTTATCAGAGTTGATAGTAATATGGAAGTTGAACGGTTTGTGATTTAGACGATACTGTCTAATTTTAATTAAAAACAATTTGTCATCGTTTTTTTGCTCTTCAAGTAACAATCCATTGTTGATCGTTGTATCAAATTGTTCAAAGTACGTAATCAGTTTATCCACGGTAAAAGATTCGATCTTCAAATTGGGATAAATAATTTCATCTTTATTGTACGGTTTCTGATGCATTTTGTAGCTGGAAACAAATATAACATTAAATCGATATTAATCATTATATTTTTTCGTTACAAATTAAAACGATTTTTTTTTAAATGATCTTATTTTTTTTTCTTCGTTAAAAATCCTGAAAAGTGATATAGGAAATAATATATTTAGATTTACTACTATTAAATTTATTTAAAATTATAAGATATACCGTAGAATTAAAAAGAATTAAAATTAATTACCTATGATAATAATCAGTTATTCTTTTATAAATTCGATAGAATGCGGGATCTTTCATAGATGTGGAGAAAATTTCCAAGGCGCTAGGAACAATTTGATATTTGCTCGCTGCTTCTAAATTGTAACCAAGGATTTTCCTCGAGAGAGTATCGATGCTACCATAGAATTCACTGTTGTACGAATCGGCATTACCTTCGATTATATTTCCAAGAATGTTCAAACCTTTCTCGCTATAAATATTATGCCACTTTCCATCATTGCTCAGAATATAACCAGAATCGATTGCTGCCGATATTCTCGATTCCTTGTTCATAATTTCCTTCAATGAAATCAAAATTATTATTTTAACCGAATTGATCGAATGATTTTTAGAATATGCGTATGATATGAACACATTCTTCATATACAGGCCCAAAAATGTAGAAATATTAAATAGAAATATTTAATTCCCATTAACTGGGAAATTCCTAATTTTAACAATGTTTTTCTTTGTGAAAATTTTTCGTTACGATTTTATTAATGGTTTTATTAACATTGCCCTAATCGAGTATAATTATTCATTGTTCGTGATACAATTCGATATAATTTTTCATCGATAAGAACATACTTTCCTCGATGTATGTTGTTTAGACTTGTTCATGCTCAGCACATAGCCAACGCTATTTAATTAGGCTACATGCTTTGTGATTGGTCAATGTTTTTAATATGTTAATAAGAAAGAAAAGGAAAATGTTGCTTGAAATTATCTCAGAAATCTCCAGTTAACGGATATTCCCACATTTTTGGATAACATTCAATTCTTTAATAATTTAAATATTGATAGAATAATTCTTGTCAAAAAAAATCTAGAAACACTTAAATTTTTTCGATTACCCTGATGTATTTGTATTTGTAGATGGGCAAATTGCTCCAGATCGGCCTTTGGGGGAATGGTAATCCATTGGAAAAAGTCATGGTGGGATAATAACCAGGGTAGAATGGTTTTTGCCAGTCGAATTCCTCGAGATAAGGTAAATCATTGGAAAGCCTTTCTAAGAAATATCTGTTCAACAATAGTTTGTGGCTGTATAAATATTCTTCACCACGATAATCCGGCAAATCGTATTCCTTCGATGGTAACCAGAATGGGAATGCTTGACGCAAGAAAAAGTAGTAAGTGTTCAACCCGATATCTTCGATAAAGTAATTTAATTTATTCTCCAAGTTGTAATCGTGATTCAAATACCAGCCCGAATAATTTGCTGAAATTGTGTATTCTTTGTACTTTCCAGTTGTTTTTGTGTCTGGAATAATGAAAAATAATTTCAATCATAATTTCGATCACGATTATAGTAGTGTTTGAGTATTTGTTGCTTGACATAACCAAAAATGTGACAAAATTTGTAATTTTTATTTTACACTATTGAAAAGTGGAAAATGTTTTATATAAAATTAATATTTATCGAGATAGAAAGATAATTACATATATCTATTTATTTTTATCATTTTAATCATTTATAAGTAAAATAATTCTTCGAATTTTTTTTACTTAACGAAACGAAAAAAAATTACAATATTTTGTTATTTCAAAGATACTAGTTTACAATTTTATAAAAAAAATTCAATTTCTCTATACGGAATAAAATATTTGTCAAAGATTCTACTAATATATAAAATTATTCTTTTGCAAAGTTCCAAACAAAAATTTATGTAAGCATTGTTTTTCGACTAATCATAGAATCCTTTTAAGAAGGAACAATATTATGAACAAATTAATTGATCAAAGAGAATCATCATTCATCTTGTACAATTGAACAAAAATTTCGCATAAACTTTTCAAAAACTATTAAAAACAAGAATGTATATATTACCTAATTTGCCAAAAATCAGAGCGTGGTTGGCTTTCCGCAATACTTCTGAATTGAAGAAGAAATAGGGGCATATCTCGTAGAGTGGTGGCAGTTGAATGAATTTGGTATCCGGCCTTCTGATCACGGCGGTGTACAAAGCGTATATGTATTGCGCTTCGTTTATGTTGTTTTTCGCCCAGAGAGCCGTCTTGAAGAAAATTTCGAAATCTCTCGCATGGTAAAATAATTTGAACAAGGCTATCATTTCCCTAAGAAGCTGCGGATAATAGAGAGAGAATAATTCTCCACGTGGAAGCATCCCATGCTTGTATATCGAAAGGAATTCCTTCACCACAGCCTGAAAATTTACGAGTATAATTTTTAAAACATTGTTTTATATATTTATATATTATCTTGCCAATAATTTTGGAAAACTTTTTTTTATTTTATTTTCCTAAATATACTTTTACAAATAAAACTATCACTTAGCAAAATTCAGAATTTTAAAATTTAAAATACAATCCTGTTGTTTTCTCACTTAATCATAGAATAATTTTTAAACATTTAGGAATAACATTTGATCGGAGAGATCGTGATTCATTCTGTTTAATCTTTGCGATTACTCACCGAATTGGTATAGGAATCGATGTTGGCTTCTATGTTCCATGCTTGACCCTCGTTGTACCATGTAATGTTCGCCAAAGCTGGTTGAGCGATGCGATAAAGCAGATTGTATACCTTCTTCTGTTTTAACAGGAAGTCCTTGTCCGCTGTTTTCGTGTCGTAATATTCTGCACCGACCAAACTGAAGGCCAATAAGCCAACTAGCCACACTTGTGACGGTATAAACATATTTTCGAGAAGATGAAAACCGCAGAATCTGAGAGTGGAGATGCTTGAAGCGCGACTACTCTTATACCCTCATACTCTCATCCCCTCTCCCTCGATTCTTTTTCCCTCGTTGTTCCGTTTGCTTTTTCGATTCTCCATTTATCAAATCAAATAACGTAAATTTCCATTTGATCGATAAAATCTGTAATCCTTTAGTTGATTTTTTCATATTGGAGGATATAAATAATACCATATGTGGACAGTTTAAACTACATCGTTAATACTTTATAAAAAGAAAGTAGATAAAGCGAGAACATTTTTAATTTGATTAATAATTCGGAACGAGAAAAAATTATATTTTCGTTTATTACGGATGAGATTAATTTTTAAAATAATTACGTTTACAAAAGTATCTTATCGAAGTATCTTATGATTTTTAATTCATGTTAATTATTCGATGAGTAATGTTATTAATTTCGAATCGTAACTTTCGTCGAATGAAATTTATATCTATGATACAAAGGAAAAATAAATTTTATTTAGACAAATTTTAAAGTTTTAGTAAGGATATGCGCGTAATTATACATTTTCGTAAAATAATGTTATATGATCGCAGTGAAGGTCAATGAAGATTATTTTTTATGCGATTTAAATTAAGAGGAAAAAATAAATCACGAGATAATGTCGATAAGTCGATTGAAAAATAAATTTTTGAAAAGATAATGAGAATTATTATACAACTCCTCGATACTAGAATCGAATAACAATTATTATGTTTACCACAACAAGTCAATATCATCATGGGATAAGAGAATAGCGCAATAACAATCGATAACTTTTCATAGAGTCCCTTATCTTCGTTCGATTTTATAATTGTTAACATTTTATAATTATATATTTACACACTTTTAATATCTGGTAATATTAAATGTTAAAGAGACTTTTTCAAAATTAAGAAAATAAAATCCAAATTCGTCAAAAAAAGTACAAATTCACAGAATCGTATTTTGCATAAAAGTAATTACGTAAGGAAACTCGAATAAGAATTTATGAAAATATTGAAAATAATAAAAAAAAAATAATAATAATAAAGAAAATCGATACTGTAAGCATGGAGATTATAAATTTGGATATAATATACAATCCTTGATCAAAAAATTAGGATCACTCGTAATTTTCAATTTTTCATGTTTTTAATAAAATTTATTAGACTGAATTATATTTAAATTATTATTATTATTATTATTATTATTATTATTATTATTATTATTAATTACTAAAATACATTCATACGAATAATTCGTTTTATTCTCTCCTTTTACTTTAATTACAATAACTTATGCACTGTTTTATCTTTTATTTTTCGATGATTTTATCAAACGTTCAGAATTCTTTTCTTTAAATGTGATTATATGTACGCATAAATGTTTCAAATAAATTCCAATTTTTTAACCAATTTTTAATTGGATTCATATTGCAAAAGATATGATGCATGGATGAAAAATGGATGCATATAAGAGCAAAAAATAATAAGATCTAACGTGTAACCATGATGTGTAAATTATCGATATGTATATGCGTGAAATGTATCAATAATTGATAAAAATTCACTGTTAAATTTTATTAAAAAACACGAAAAATATTGAAAATTGTCAATGATCCTGATTTTTTCTTTTTTTTTCTTCTTTAACAAAAGTTAAAGCACACATGTATGAATACACAGGATTGATTTTATCCCTATCGCTATGTAACTGTTTATGTTGCAAGTATTTTCTCGTAATCGTGTATCATTACAACATTAAGAATGTACATATAAGAATGTATAAAAACGTTTTATCGTTGCTCGATTGCAATTATCGTGCGAAACACTTGCTCTTACTCGAGTTTTCTTCCTATTATCAGCTTGGATTGGTTAATAATTCATTATAGTCAAGGGATACTATTGTCTCCGATGATAATTTCGATGTGATTTATGCCGGAAATGAAGTTCTCTTGTCTGCACAGCTGTTGTTTTGTCGTGCCAATGAATATTCAATTTATTAGATCCTTACATACTAATAGTTTTTATCTTTTAATTATTGAAAATTTTAATAATCAATAATCTCCACCAATATATCGTCAAAATAATGATTAATTAAGTTAGGAAATATCTTTTTAGAACATTTAAATATAAATAAAAATGATTTTTGCAATCAATTGTATCCTTTTTTTTTTTATAGATTTGTTTCTTGTTCACAGTTGTTTTAATCGCACATTTTCTTTCAAATAACACGAAATATAAATGTTTATCGCGTTTAAAATTAATATTCGATAATGTTTATCTGTTGCTCGTAACTTTTTTTTTTTTTTTCTTTTCTTTAATCAATTTTTACAGACAAATTAATAACACGAAATTAAAAAGAGTTGCTTATAAATTTTATCTCTCTTAACTCAAATAACTTTCTGCAAATTTCCCATGAACTTGTTATTATAAACGGGCGACAAGTGACAATTAATTTATTAATTTCTTCCTCGTGGTGGGATGACAGGAGCGCAAGAATTCAAAAAAAGAAAAAAAAATTTATAATTCTCACATCTTTTTATTTCGTTCACATCTCTTTTTTTCTCTCTACATCTCTCTTCCTTTCTCGTTTAAACGAATTTTTTTTTTTCTCTCTAATTGCAAATAATTTAAAAAAGAAAAAAGTAAGGAAGAAAGATCAAATCTACGTATTAAATTCTACACGTTTACAGGGCAACGTTCAACTCCTCCATCTCCCTATGATGAACGAGGACCTCCGTGACGTGGATGTTGGACAGGACGAGGAGCAAAGGATCGACAGGTTTGTCCAGAGGGAAGCCCATAGGATGCGTGTCGTAAACGTTGCGACCCCATACAGGGGAGTCTATTTGGACGACGTTCGACTCGTCGAACGGAGTGACGACCACGAGCAGATTGTACGGCATACCTTCCTTCTTGCCCTTGGGTAGGAGAAGTCTGTCGGGGAAGCCGTAAGGCTGCGAAGAGTACTTGAAGGACTCGTTACCTTCCTCGCTGGCCACCAGCCTCTTGTACAGCACATCGCTGGGAACATCGTCGGGGACAACGAAGACGGATTCGTGGCTGCTTCTGTCGACTGTGTTGCTTCCGCTTTTCACTGCGGAAAAAAAAAAGAAAAAAAATCGAAATCGAAGCGTTGAACGAATGTTTCTCTCGAAAAAAAAAATTTTTTCGAAGGACGACGAGAGGAGTTGCTCAAAAATTAGGCACTGAAACGAGTAACGGGTGTTGAATGACGAAAAGAAGTTTCGAGGAATGGATTATTTTTAGATAGAGATGGTAGAGATTATGGTTTTTTTTTTAGGCTAAACAGATGGGCAAAACTTTAACGATTGAAATTAAGAATAAAGTTACTTCGACAATTTATTATTTAGAGTATCGAATAATCATAAATGGGTCAACTGTAATAGCTAATAAAATTGTTTAAAGTAACTTTATTCGAAATTTCAATTACTTTTTAACCTCCTGATATCACAAGCTACCAGAAGATTGAATATCAATGTATAAAATGAAGGAATTTTTTTGTAAAAGTAACGCATAATTATTTTCAACTATGAAATTATACGAAAGATTGCCCTTCTCTATAAATAATACATTAGAAAGAAAAAACTCATGTGAAAATAAACATCGCGAATTCAAATCCGCGTATTAGCTCTTGGCACTTCTTTCCAACAATAGAACGTACGTAACAGATACAAGGGAAACTGTATTCTTATTTATATAATTTGTAAACGATAAAGATGATACGTACGGTTAACCACGAACTCGTCCAACTGCATGAAGTTCATGTAATTGTGCACGAGGTCAACTTCATGGCCGAACTCGTCGTATTTCGGTCCAAGGAAGATACGAACTACACCTTTGGTATTCTTGTCGCTGTTCACGGTGATGTGATAGGTGAAAGGTTTGTGGTTCAGCCTGTATTGTCGAGCTTTGATCACGGTGTTCTTGGCTTCTGTGTGACTACGAACCGACACTCCATTGTTCAACAAGGACTCGAAATGATCGAAGTAAGTGGTGAGTTTGTCCACGGACACGGATTCGATGCTTACACCTGGGAAATTTAATTCTTCCATGGTGTACTTCGGAAGATTCTCCTTGTATCTGTGACAAAAATACGCATGCTTTCAATTAATTGTTAATTTTTTTTTTTTTTTTCTTTTCTCATAGAAGAAGAATCACGTACTTGTGATAATAATCAACGATGGTCTTGTAGATGCTGAAGAATACAGGATCCCTCAAACTGGTAGACCACATTTGAAGAGCGGATGGGACGACTTGATACTTGACGTTGGATTCGTAACCGAAACCGAAGACTTTTCTCACGAGCGGATCCAATTGTCCGTAGAATTGCACGTTAACGCTGTCCGCGTTACCTTGAATGATGTTACCAAGAATGTTCAGCCCTTCTTTCGTGTATAAGTTGACGTGGTTGCCGTGTGCGTCTATGACATAGCCAAGATCGATGGCGATTGAGATCCTGAAGTCGAGGTCCTTGATCATCTATAATTCGAATTAATAAATAATTATTCAATTTATTTATCACAATGTTATTGTTTAATATTTAGAAACGTGCTTACTTTAACATATTTCTGCATATGGAGTGGAACCACAGCGTCAGTTTCTCTCTGAGGGAAGGAAAGTCCATTGCGGAATTTCATGGTGGGATAGTATCCAGTCGATATGGGACGATTTAGGTTCACGTAGCTAACCTCACCCATATCGTTGCTAAGCCTCTCGAGGTAGTATCTGCGAGATGAATTTTAATAAAATTCACGTAGATATCGTTGCATCACGTTTCTTACACGAGATAATATTGTATTTATATTTGCAGGAAAATTGAAACCGTCTATAAAAATATTTTACTCTTTATGGCTGGTAAAGCAACGTACCTGTTCAACAGTTGTTTGTGGATGAAGAAATAGAATTCACCACGAATTTGTGGAAGATTGAGCGAGTTTGAAAGCATGAAAGGTGGGAAATTGTGATTGAACATGAAGTAGAACTGGTTGAGGCCAACATCCTCGGTGAGGTAGTTTAATCTCTGCTCGGGTACGTTGTGTCTGGTCAAGTACCATCCGGTGTAATTCGCCGGAAGCAAGTAATGATCGACGCCGTTCAGAGTCTTCTTCACGCCAGCTAATCAAATTGAAAGAAAATTTTCATGAATAATTTTTCCAATTTCAAAAATTAATCCGTTTCTTCCTTTCATGAAGAATTATAATTTTATTTTATACTGCGTTATAAATTTTGCATTTTGTGAAAATTCATTTTTAAATATACGAATAAAAGGAGGAATAGAAAATTTTATATAATAATTCATTCAAATATTCATTGTCTCCAAGACAATTTGATTAATTCATATAGGAATAGATTATAATCGTTCAAAATGAGTTGAAAAAATTCAAATAAAATCGATGTTTTGAAAAATGTTTCTCATACAAACATTTCAATTTCCAAATTTTCTAAAATTGGACAAAATCGCGGTATACACGGTAAAGATTGAATGAACATATCTATTCATTGTCAATGAATTTGAAAATTTTGATCGAGTCGAACAGAGTTGGAAGAATTCGAACGAAACTTTTCCTCGAAAGTTTCAATTTAATTTTTATCGATTAAATTTCAATTCTACCATTCTACAAGTGTTCATCAAGTGTTCTTTTAATCGCTCGTTCAAAGTTTACCATACATATCGTATGTAGGAATAAAGATAAAAAATTTCTGCAACCTATGTCACCCATGGCGATGTTGTAAGCTCTCTGCATAACGTCATCATTGAAGAATAAATGCGGCATCATCTCGTACAATGGCGGCAATTTCATCAGTCTGGTGTCAGGACGGTGGATCACGGCTACGCTTAACGCGTACACGTACATCTGTTCGTTTACATGGAATCTGGCCCAGACAGCTGTGTTATAGAACACGTCGAATGTCTTGGCGCTGTGCAGAACGCGGAAAAGCACCACGGCTTGGTGGTGCATTCCTTGTCCATCATCGTGAACACTTGGCCACGCGGAAGCATTCCATGTTTCAAGAGTTGCATGAACTCGTTCACCGCTTCCTATTATTAAACAAGAAAAAAAGAATTGCAGACTCAAAAACGAGAAAGAAGAAAAAACTTTCGTTTACAATGATTTTATGATGGTATAGGATATTTTATTTGGTATCAAATGTTTAGAAACACAAGCATTTCTTGATTCTGAACAACATTTTTCTATACGTATAATTGGTTGTAATTTAGAGAATATTAATAATTTTTACATCATGCGTTATGTACGTGGCGATGTAAGTAGCCATATTTTTGTACAGTTTAAATATATTTACTCTGTACACAGAGTGTTAACATATTCTCTAGAAGGCAAGGCAAACACAAAAATTGATACGCAAAAATTAATAAGTTAAGACTTATTTATTAAGTTAATAATTTATTTGTTTAGAACAATCTCACTTTATTGAACGCTTTATTGAACGTAAATTTCAATTGCTTAACTCGATAAACAAGTCTCAACCGATCATAAAATTTTTGCATTTTTGATTTCATGCTCAAAAATCGATTTTCCAAAGATCTCCAATACTCGCATGAATATATTAAGAATATGTACATCGATTCGGTAAAAAATAGCATTCCACTTAGTCTTAGATAATCATCCAACAAATTGTTACCGATTCTTATAAAAGCTTGTTAAAATCTTCATTTATTTCTACTTACTTTGTCATTATAATTGTCGAGATTTTCAACGATATTGAAAGTGCGCGCCTTCTGGTAGAGTTCTGGATGGTAAACGGTCGGTTGGTCCACGTGCCAGAAGAGTTCGTAGATGTTCTTCTGTCTAGTAACATATGTCTTGTCGGCGACCTTGTTGACCTGGTGCATTGCCTGGGCAAGCAAGCAGAGACTCGCGAAAAATAGGAATCCGGCCTTCATGATCACGATCATTCGTTGAACCGTAGTTGGAAGAGACCGGGCCAGTCACCAGTTTATATACTCGAACTCGAAATTGTTGGACTTCGATAAAACAGATCGATAATGTGTATCGTTCGGGTCGATTTAGGGTAAGGTCGCGAGGGTGGTGAAAGTAGACGGTTTATCTTATGCGTTTTTTTGCCTTTTAATCGTTGATAAAGATAGGGTAGGGTGCAATTTAGCCGATTCGATCGATGTAATTACGCAATTCGATACGAAAATGTATTAAAAATAATTTTTCTAGTAAATAATATTGAGTGAATTCAAAATTGAGCAATTAATTTTTTTGGCATAAAAATTAAATGAAATTTGGAATTTTTTAAATAAATAACAGCTATTATTATTTAATACATGACGAAAGAATTAATTAATATTATGAGAAATAAATTTATTGGAGTATTTATGAGGTATATGAATAAATTTCGAATAATTTTGAATGGATGTTATATGATTTAAAAATAATATTTATTGATGAGGAGAAATTATTTATTGTAAAATTGCTAAAAATTCGTACGTGATCCCATTATCTGTACGCAAGTAATAATTCGCGTAAATATAACGGATTGATTATTTAATTTAAAATTAATGTTTCTTTTTATCAATCATTTTGATAAATTCATATAATAAAATACACTCAACAAAATTAATTTTCGATCGATCGTTTTACGCTATTACGATATTCGAAACGTGAAAGGAACAATAATGATTTATTTCATTTCCATGAATTATTCAAAAATAATAACTTTTTTCAAAATAAATAAATAATTTTAATTGATCGCAAATATAAGTTTAATACGAGTACAAAATGCCAGAAACTAAATTATACGAGAAAATATGAATTTAAATTGAAGATATATCGATATATATATATAATAATATCGATATATATCGATAATAGAGATAGCACAACACGTACGATATCATTGTTCGACTAAAAACTCTTGTTGAATTAGAAGAAAAATTAGAAGAATGAAAAGGCAAACTGATATTATTATTATTATTATTAATTTTATTGCTTTGTAAATTATATATAATTTAAGTGGAAAAAGAATAAATAAAAAGACTCGATGAGATCAATAACCTAACTTACGTAACAACGTACGAAATTTGACAATGAACGAACTTTGCGAACTCGTGATAAAATTGTTATGTTCTAATATCACGATGATATATCAATGTCAGCGACTTATTTATCTTTTAAAATAGTTTTGCAAACTCTTTGGAATGACCTCAGAGGCTTTGATATTATTCGTTATATCATTAGTATCATTCCTTCCTTTCAACGAATCTTTTATGTATTAGAATATTCATTTAACATCTTTTTCCATTCTCGAAGAAACTTATCGAAAAAAAATTTTAAATAAGATTATCGATTAAGATTATAATTAATAATAGTTACAAAGGAATAGCTTGATTCCATGAAATCATTTTTTAAAAGTTATTTGAAGGAATGGATAAACGGTGATATTAATTCATAACTTTTCAAATTGATAACTTCGAAAATTATTACATAATGAAATCAATTATTATTTAATTTCCTTTCCTGCAAATTATTTTCTATTTTCTTCGTTTAAAGATAGAGTTACATAAAATAGAATATTTATTTACGAATAATTTGAATTATAAAAAAGGATGAGCACTATATTAATCACATTTAATCGTACTAGCAAGGAGAATTAACGATTTAAACTTTAAATGTATCCAACTTGAATAAGAAGTTTCACATTCTACACAAAGAAAGTTCATTCACTCTTTTTTATTATGTAAGATCGCAATTATTGATTTTTAGCTTATCATTCACTCTTACGAAAGTCAATGCGAGCGTGCTTGTGACAGATCGAGTGAATCTTCTTGTAAAATATCGATAATCGTTATCTCGCGATATCGATATTTGTCGTCTCACATGGTTGAATCGCGAAATTTGATATAATCGATAAAATTGCGATACGCGATATATATCTCTATGTCAATGAAATCTTTCGAGAAATAAACATAAGAACGATGTCAAATTATATTATATCGAAGATGTAAAATTGCAAGCATCGATCGTGAAGACAATATGAAAGCAGATATTTCTTTAATTCGATTAGGTATTTTGCGGGGATAAATCAATGGAATGAAAAAAATTCTCGTTGATCGCAAGTTGTGCAATCGAGACTAAATTCTTATCGCGCGCGAAAAAAAAAAAATGATCGAAAACAGTGGTCAGACGATTTAGATTATTTATTTAGGTTATTATATTTACAAAAATGAGCAGGATATATTTAGTTGATGTAGGTCTTCAAATCAATTTTGATAACATAAGATAAAGATGGTTGTTTGTTCCAACTCCAGACAAGTTTTTATGATATTCTCTATATGTGAAAAATTATATTGTCATTTTTTCATGCACGCAAAATTTACATACACACTGTTAATTTGTTGAATTCGTTTTGTCGCAAAAATTATTTGAATATGAAACAAAAAGAAACATTGCAATTCAAAAAAGGTTGGAAGATACTGATCCATAATTGTAAACAATAAATATAATGTAACAGCTGTATATAATCATTTTGAAATGAAATTTTGAAACAGTTTTGAGAAAAATTATAAATATAAAATTTTAATTGGTATTTATTAATTTTCGAAATATGAAGATTTTATTATATAATCAAATTATATAATTGAATATAATCTATAACATAACAATAATATATAACATTTTGCTGCTTATGCATATATTATTTTATACAAATATATCGCGACAACATAACGTGCAATCATTCATCATAATTTCAACCAATTTGTAATTTCGTCCAAGGGTTGTTTTATATTTTATTTTCAAAAGATCCGTGAATTACTTAAATTCTCTATGGATATTTTATATTTGATCTCTCTTCCCTCCACTTTCTCCTATTCATTTTCAGTTCCATCGTACTTTATTGAAAAAAATGCAAATTTGCAATGTTGCAAAAATGTTGCGTCATCCGTTTTATACCATATTACATCGGATTAAGAGTAGACCAGTTCCAGTTTGTTATTTGAAGAGTCAACGTTATTATTGCTTATTTTCCCCTGGTGGCAAATTGATTTAAGAAAGAAGTATCTCGAAAGAAAGAATAATTTGTTCAAACATGAAGTATATGAAAATAATTTCTTCATTAATTTTTCAATTGGTTCGTGTTATATAATTGAATAATGGAACTTTCAAGAGGATCTATCTATTGGTAGAAAGAAGTGATGAAAGTGCGTTGAAAGTGCGTTCTCGGTTGGCGTTGGAGGTAGAAGAACGAAAAAAGAACGATAACAGAGTGTGCCTAACTTGAGAAAAAAAATTATATTGATAGCATTTATGTATTTATTGGAAGTTCAAAGTGCGTATATTATAATTACACATGTACTTTGAAACATTTCGATCGCTTTAAATATGATTCTATTAGAACTTTTTTCTTTTTGGATTATCAAACGATGGATTGAATTCTTTCAAATTTGAATTTATTTATGTTGAAATATTTTCAGGAATCATATATACGAAAAAGTTCAAGAGGTTTCATATTTGTAGAAAAAGAATTATAGATTGTGATATAAAGTAGATATTTAAAAAAGATTTTTAAAATTTATTTATAAAACTTAGAAAAATATTTATTTGAAAATACAAAGATCACATAATAAGAATGTTTTTCTTTTTTAAATTTGATATATAAACGTTATTTCTTTATATAAAAAGTATACAAAATAAATAATACCGATAATAATTTTAAATAATCTTAAAATATTAACTCTAGCAATATGAATTCTTTATTAATTTTTCTTCTTAAATTTATTTATTTAAGATCACATTAGCTGTTTTAATTAATCTATTGATTGCGAGATCTTTTAGATCTTTTTTTTTTTTATTCTATTTAATGCATATGTTTTTATATAAGTCATAATTTTTTTGATGTTTTTTGTACAATAACTTGAATTTTTTTCCATAATACATTTCATTGCATTTATATATTTACAGATGTATAAATTGTATATGTTTTTTTTTAGAGAGTAGAAGACATTCTTCTTAAACGGATGTTATTTAAAAAATCTTGTTAAAATTATGAAAAATCCTGATGTATGTATTTCGAATCGAAAAAGAAGAGCTTGAATCTTAAAATTTCGAAGGTTCCAAAATGTTTGAAAATTTAAAAATCGAAATTGAATTATCAAGTGGAAGAAATCGATTGCATTCGATATAATATTTCACGTATAAAATGTTGATACAAACATTCAAAGACAAAAATATAATGAAGAATTAAAATCAATTTTATTTTGTTTGCTGAAAATCGTAGTGATGCAAATTAATTCAGCCATTTTTTTACGTTATTATTATAAAAAAAATCGAATTAATATCACTTTGAAGTTTATATCATGTTTAATGTCATTTTTAATATTAATAAATTATGAAAGAATATAAAAATACGTAATATGATATTAAATATGATATAAAAACACATAATATGATATTAGAATAATAATATAAGTATATATAGTAATAAATAAATAATAAATATAGCAGATGTTTATAACAAAGTTTGGAAGATATTTGAAAGATATTATACTGCATTTCTAGTAATGAGTCATTGCTCGAAAAATCGCTAAAAACAGATGTTTTTAAATTTTATGTTCTCGATTATCGATTAATCGAAGTATTTCGTTTCATCGATAATTCTTCGCGATTACTCGATGAACAAAATCGAACTATATCAGTTTTAAATTAGACCTCGAAATAATTTTAAAATTCAGTTTTAGAGAAAGGAAAAACTATCCTCATCGATGCAACGAGTAAGAAAGATATTTTAGATATTTTAGATATTTTAGGCCAGTTACGTAATGACTTCATCTGATATAAAATATAAAAAAGATGGTATTGAATACAATACAAATCAAAATATGCCAAACATATTTCAATTGCCAACAATTAAATGACAAAATTTTTTTTATCTCTTATTTAATTTTACAGAGTCGTCTCTTCAACCAAACATCCTATACAGGTAATGTTTTTGTTTTACGTATAATCTTAATTAATCCATCTATATAATAAAAAAAAAAATCAACAATCAATAAGCAAAAAAATTCAATTTTATTCAGAATCCTTTATTTAAAAAATTTCTTGCAGAATATTGTAAATCGTTTGAAAAAAGTGCACCGTTTTAAACGAAAACTGTGTTTTCGTTCAGTAATTCATACTCTCCTTCTCGTTTGGACGATTATAAATGAACACATCCTTGAAGTACATGTTAGGAATGGTGAAGTTCCATGCCCACATGGGTCTGTCCAATGGAAATCCGAACAGCTTGTTATCCAACGTTATTTTTCCGTATAAAGGTATTTCGTACGATTTCATGTTGCTTTCGTCCATCGAGCTCAGGAAGAAGAACATCTTGTACCTCATACCTTCCGGTTTACCACGCGGCAAGATGAGACGTTCGGGGAAGCCCAATATTTTTTCAGAATACGTGAATGGCTCGCTTCCGCTGATCGCTTTGTTCAATTTGTCATAGAATTCGTCGCTGGGCATTATATTTGACATCGTGAATGCTGATTCCGAGCTGTGGCGTTCGATGCTGTTACTTCCGGGACGGACTGTAAAAATAACGAGAACTTTAGAGTTTGGATTCTTGATAATTTTTAGAAAAAAATAACTTTGTGTTAATAAGTTTAGTAATAACACGGCGAAAAATCGATGTACGATAGAAAAAAAGAGAAAATTCCAAGTCAAATTTTAGATCAAAAGTTTATCTACGATAAATGAATAAGAAGGAAATTAAATTTTAAATCAAAAATCTATCAAATTAGAAAAAGATTTGAATTAATTAAATTAAAGCGCGATGTTCGATATATTGTCATTATATGATAATGCGAGAAACGAATAAAAAATACTAACGTGTTACGGTAAATCGATCCATTTCCATAAACAGATAAAAATATTTCTGTAGATAGACCATATCATGTTTGACCTCTTCAAAAGCTGGCCCAAGGAAGATTCTCATCATTCCTTTTGTTTCTTTATCGCTGTTAATGTTTATTTTGTAAGTGAATCGCTCGTGGTTCATACAAGCACGACGCGCCTTCAAACGTAAATACATTCCACCTTTGAAGTTTTCTACTGACACGGCATTGTTGATCAGGGTGTCGCATTTGTCAAAGTACGTGTATAGTTTATCGATATTCACAGATTCGAATTTAACTCCTGGCATTTGCAGTTCATTTTGACTGTACTGAGGCTGCAGTTTCTTGTATCTGAATGCATATAATAATTGGTTAAAAAAAAAAAAATTAGTAACTTTCTTCATTTCTTTTTCTCTTTACATAAAGAAATTAATTGAATAGCATAGAATATTAAAAGAAAATTAGAAAATAATAAAATTTAAAAGAATCAACATACCTCAAGAAGTAACGCAAGATTTTTTTGTAGAGCAGATAAAAGGCTGGATCTCTCATACTGGTAGAATAACTTTGAAGGGCGCTCGGGATTAAAGTGTTCTTGTTCTGGGACTCGAGATTGAAGCCCAGGATATCGCGAGCAAGAGTATCGTACATACCGTAGAATTTCATGTTAATAGAGTCACTATTTCCTTCTATTACATTGCCAAGCATATTTAGACCTTCTGGTGTGTAAATATTTATCTTCTTTCCATATTCGTCTATCAAGTAGCCGGAATCGATAGCGTCCATTAAACGCATCTCCAACGCGTTGATTATCTAAGGAATTAAATTTTTTTCGTTGTAATTCGTTATAATTTGGAATTAAAATTTTTGAATGAGACATCTTTTCTGTTATTTAAAAAATCAAATTTTACTCACGTTAAGATATTTATATTTATAATAGGGCAAAGAGGAAAATCTATTCCTCTGTGGGAAAGTTACACCATTAGAGTGCATCAGGGTGGGGTAAAATCCAGAATAGATAGGTTTACTCCAATCCAATTCCGCTATTTTACCAAGATCGTTTGATACTCGTTCGAGCAAGTACCTAGCTATTAATTGGTGGTGAATGAAATAGTAAAGCTGTCCACGTATTTCTTTAGGCATGTGATATTGGCTGCTGGACATCCAATAAGGCAACATTTCACGCATGTAGTAATAATATGCGTTCAATTCAACATCTTCCATAAAGTAATCAAGCTTGTATTCCGGATCGTCGTATTCCCACATATATTTATCAGAATAGTTCGTGTTCACTATGTATGTTTCGATGTTGTTCATTCCAGTCACAACACTAGAGCCTGAAAAATATTATTTTAAAAATTAATCCTTAATTATAAGTGGATAAATAATAGTTAAAGTTCTCGAAGAGATTCGAGGAAAAAATAAATATATATCTAAAAATAATATCGATCGTTCTTAAGTCTAGTAGATATAATAGCGGAATAAAAATTTCTTTTTCTTTTTCGAAACATTATTTATGATTCTTATTAATTTAAAAATTTGAAAATTAATATTATTAATTTTTCAACTTTAATATGGAACTATTATTTATAACTTTACTTCATTTTATATAAATGAAATGTAATTAAAATGATATTATGAAAATAATATTTCTATCTCGGTAAATTATAATATTAATTTTATCAAAAAATTCATTAACTTTTCAATAATCATAAAACAAAAATATAAAATCCAACATTTAATAGAACTAATAGAATTAATGATCTATAATTAACTTATAATAACTTACAAGCGAGAGACATTTTTAAATTTTTATTTTGAATCTTTTCATTTTTCTAATCTTAGCGAAGTTGTAAAAAAATTAAAATAAATGATATATTAGTTATAAAAATAATTAATAGTCACCTCGAGACATCTTCAAATATTGCGCCTGTTCTATAATATTCGAGTCGAAGAATAAATTGGGATAGATTTCGTAGATAGCGGGAAGTTTCATGTATTTAGTGTCAGATCTATAGAAGATAGCGATAGAAAACGCTGTAGTGAACATGCCGCTGTTCATCCGAAGTCGAGCCCAAGCGGCAGTTTTGTAAAATGTTTGGAAGTCCTTCGCATTGTATAATAACTCGAATAACATTCTCACCTCGTATTTCTGCTCAGAGTTGAGCGAACTGAAAATAGCGTTACGCGACAGGAACATTCCCTGTTTGTACCACCACAGGAACTTTTGCACGACATTCTAAAATTAATTAAATTTAAAATTCAACTTTTTTATTAAAGTTATAATTTAATAATTATATAATAATATATATATTATGTTATTATATAATAATATATATTAATAAAAGCTTACATGTTATATTGCGATTCGTAAAGTTATAATTTAGAGATGTTAGTTGTATAAGTCTCCGATATTTGTCGCTTTACTACTCGATATTACATTTCTTTCAGTTTTAATAAAATATACTACGATATAATACGTTAAAATAATCGGTCTGTAGTATCTATTCTATATATAAATTATAATTAAAGTAATTACATTTCTATTTCGATAAATTACAATATTAATTTTGTCAAAAATATTTTTATGTTTACCGTAAACTAATAAATTATTTTGATGGATTTATTCTATCTATATTAAAATACTAATTTCAACTAATTTTAACTAATTTTGTAAATAATCATATTATGAAATCGAAATCGAAGTAATCAAAGTTATATTATTAGCGAAGAAAATATCGAATCCGTTATTACTTTAAATCGAGTAAGATACCTAGATCTAGGTTAATATGGTATCCTACAGTATTTATTCGAAATTTCATAATTCCATCAAAAATCTTGATAAACAACAGTATCACCTTGTCCTTGTACATGTCCATATTGCTCTCCATGTCGTAGTTTCTGCCTACATCGTACCATTCTGCATCGCTCAGATCTGTCTGCCTTACGTAAAGTAACAGGTCGTATATCTTCTTTTGCTTGTGAAGGAAATCCATGTCAGCGGTACGCCTTCCGGCGTAAGAGGCGCCCTGTGCGCCGCAAATGATAGCGAGCGCCACCAACAAAACTACCTTCGGCAACATCCTTGCGATGGATAGGGGGAAGGGAAAAAATATCGTTTTACCGTCGACACCCGTCGTTTCGACGTTTTGTACCGGTTACGGGCTTAACGGCGAGCTTTTATACTTATTCGGAATAGAATAATCACGTTAAACCTCTGACCCATATCGTACTTATCGAGATACCGTATGTCATATATATTTGTACGGTTGATTAGTAGAACACGAATATTTCTTCCAAACGCGATATGATATTTTTTCTTTTTATTTATTTTTGAAGAAAAAAGGGAAGAGAGAAAGAGGTAGAGGTAAGATGATTATAAAAATCACAGAACATTCGAAAGAGAAAAAAATGAGAGCTTTTTAAGAACTTTTAAAAGGATTTTTTTCCTTTTTTAATAAAAGAATTTTTTTGCAAAATTTCAAATAATTCCCAAGCAGTTTTTCATTCTAAATTTCATTTCGATCATTTCGTTATTTTCATATGCTACTCATATGCAGTAATAATCGAGATTTTGGATAATCGAGATCGATAATTTGGATAATCGTAAATCAATTAATCGAACTCCCACTGTATCACAGATTAGATTTGAAATCTAGCGTATAAATAATGTTAAATGCATAGCTTAAAAATACTTTCACGCAATTTTTTATTAAATTTATATATTATCAATTCAAATTCTTTTGAATATAATAATTGCAATATTGGATAAAAATCGATGTTTAATTTTAGAGAAGAAATTTATTTGAAAATTATAGAATTAGTTAATTTCGAAAAAAAAAAAGTTGAATTTTTGATATTAAATTTTTCAAAGATATTTTTCAGCTTTTTGAGTTTGGTAATATAGACATAATAACAGAGATAATTATATTTATATAAATACACAAATCACGCAAAAAGTCAAATTTCATGAAAAATCCCTAGGAAAGGATTAAATATAAATTATTTATTCTGCCAAAGAAATAGAAATTTTTAGAAAAATAAATAGGATTATTTCCACATGATGAAAATAAATCTAAATTAATTCTTCGTATTTATTCATTTAATTCAATATTATTTGTAAGAATTTTAAATAAATGCCATCTATCTTTGGCAAGTGACAAACATAAATTCAAAAATTAATTGCATTTGAGATAAAAACTTGGAATTTATAATCTTAATTCAAATAATCGAGTTATTTTTACTACATTCTTTCAACATTGTTTCAAGTTCTGATTTTTATTTATTCCATTATATATTATTAATGTAATTCATATTTTTCTTCGCGAATGATCAATTTCTTCGCATATTTGGAAAGGAAAAATTTTGAAAAAAATGAATACAATGTAACAGACAATATTATTTCTATCGAATAATTATTGCTGTCTCAAGAATATAATTCTCTAAGCAATATCGTACTTAATAATACTCAAAATACGAAAGAAAATTCCTTGTAAAATTTTTCTTGTAAAATTTTGTAAAAAAATAATTACGAAAAAATTTACATTTGTATAAGGATAAATTATGCAATTATGCTCTTCAGAATTAATTAAGTAAACATAGTAGACATTTAAATTTTTTCTTTTTTTAAAAACAAAATTCTCATCATGGTGATGACGAATGGAAATCGATAAGGATTTCATTTTAAGCAGTATTTTATTATTATTATTTCTTTAATCTTTTTTCATTAGTTAAATTACGTTCATCAAATATATTTTTTTATTATTTTTCTCATCATCATTAAAAATCGATAAATTTTTATAATAAGATAAATTGTTAAATTGTTTAAATTGTTAAATCATTACATATAATTCGTAATAATAAAATATCATACAAAATATCTATTTAATTCTGATAAAGGATTAAATATACATCGAATTTTAACTTTCAATAGGTATTAACCTTTAAGATAAAAATATCTTAAATCGCTCGTGCAACGTTCTTTTATTTACAGAACTGAAAGAAAAATATTCCATTACGAAAAATATTCCACTTCATGCTATAAAAATTAATTATTTAAAATTGAAGAGTCTAAAGTAATAATTCTTTGACAAAACAATTTGAAACGAATTGAAAATTTATCCAAGATATATCTAATTTTATTACAGTCGTGAATAAAATAAATTATTATTTTATATATTTTTAAATATAAAAATTATTTTATATTAGATATTTATTAACATTAGCATGATTTGAATCGAGATAAATCATCCATCTCTTTTACTCGGATAATAAATATGTGTATATATACAATATAAAAATTTTATAAATAATTTATACACATGTGAAGATGAAGATATTAATAAGTTAAAATTTAATATTATTAATTTAAATTAGATAATATTCTTACATGAATTTTTTCCCATCACACAGAGATGTACAAAGAAAGGTAAACAGATGTTTGAATGGAAAATTCTCCACGATCTTATTCTTAATAAATTATATTGTTGATCAGTCTCTGTGTATATTCCTGTGTATACGTAAAGCGCTCTTCCTCCTTCTGGGTAGATAAATATTTTGAGTTTGTTCAAAGTTATTAATCACTTTTTAGATCAAATTTTAATTATAAACTCCGTTAAAAGATCCTGATAATTTGACAGGAATGATTATTATTATTAATTATCATGAATTATGAAAAGATTTTAAATAAATTGAATTGATAATTATTAATTTGTAAATGGTAAAGTAAATCATAAATAGCGTGAAGGAAAATGAAAAAAAGAATGGATATCTCGTACAATTGGATCAATATTGTAAGCGTGCAATTTCATTATTGATTTAATTATCGATAAATACGGTATAAGGTCAATATCTTGAACTTTCGAAGGGAAAATTTCGTACATTTTATCAGCTACACCGATAAACGATTAAAATATATTTTTATTTGAAATAAATAATTATGATACGGCAATTTTGTAATTATTTACTTTATACGTGTATATTTCGTTTAAAAATTGTATTACGTATGTGTTTTAATACAAATTAATTAATAATAAAACGCATTAAAAATACATTTTAGACTTTATATAAACAACTCTGGTAAAAAAAATAAAATATTATATTTTTAAAAATTCAAATTACACAATTCATTCATTCTGCATTATTTTTTTTATCTGTAACTTCTAAAAATTTTTCAATGGATCCACATAATGAAGATATCTCATTTCTCATTTTACAATAGTTCATCACTACAGATTCTCTTAGTTACAATTTTATAATTAAATTACATTCCGTGAGAAGGGAAATATTGTATTTTAGATACCTTGAAGAAGCAGAGAACAATTCAATATTAACAAGCATTATTATAGTGATACTTTTTTAACATACTTACGCTATATTCAATGATTTCCATTTCCACACACGGTATGTTTCATTAAATGTCTACCTGTACATCTTGGTTTTAATTTCTTTCTCATTTCATGCAACATAAAAGATAATTGATATTCTTCGCTTCGCATTGGAAATGTAATATTGTGTATCGGAATTTTGTTATATTGTTTATCTATTTTTAGAGGTGATCTTAAAACGTGTAGATAGTTACTGGGATAGAAGAATGTTTTGAGTATGATTGCCTTTTAAATGTAAATTAATTGAATTTAAAAAACATAATTTTGGAAAAGATGATTTAATTTTTCAAAGATAAAAAATTTCGATTTGACTTTCCCATGAAATAAGAATTATAACTCACTCTCCAATAAAACTCAAATTCAGTAAAACATTGTCCCATTTCAAAACATATCAATTTCAACATTTTTTCAAAATTTTCATCACTTATATTTCTTTGAGACAAGTTTTCCAAATATTTTTTTGAACGTTTTTCTAATTCAGTTTTTATGTCTATCATATATTTTTGGAGAATCATGGCCATGGAACCATACTGAGACGATGCAAAAATTATATCGTTTGATGAAGGTAGTAAATCCATGTCCCCCGATTCTTCACCTTCGAACTTTTATAATGAATAATTTATTATCTAAATTCTATCAACTCATCATCGTATAAGGAATATTTAATCTTAAGAATTAAAGTTTCTAGTTTCAAGCAATTAAAAAAAAATTCTAAATTTCAAATATATATAGCAAATGACGATAATTTAGCTGAATTATGAAAATCTACCGAATTATCGATGAAAATGTTAAGTTTTAAACAATGTACAAGCAGGTTATCTTTACAATCTCAAAATGTGAAAATAATCTCTTAATTGGAGATTTCTGTGGTAATTTTAACCAACGTTCTTCTTTGCGAAGACTTTTGTTGCGAAAATGCAGACCAATTACAGAGCGCGAAACTTAATCATAACATTGGTCGTCGATCGAGCACAAACAAATCGAAACAACATACATCGAAGAAAGTTTGAATATAACAAATATTTTTTATCGATAAAAAATTATATCGAATTATATTGCAAACAATAAACTATAATTTCCAGTATACGGGATCAGTAATTGTTGATTTTTTGATCAAATTTGAAGATCAAAGATATTCCTCGCAGTTTACATCAATCGCAATAAAAGCGAACACAGTACCAATACTACATGTAGATACCATGCTTTGTCTCGTGTATTTTATTTAAGACTATTTACTAAAGATTTTTTTATAGATTTATGTTAAAAAGATATCCAAAATATCCGAATAATAAAGTTAAAATTGATAATACTTCAAACTCAATATTTTGAACAAAATATATTTGTTAAATTATAATCTAACTTTAAAACAGTGACAAAAATAATTTCTGACTATTGTAATGTTAACGAATTGAAGCAAATATACGTACGATTAATTTTTAAGATAATAAAATTTACTCGATATATATTACAATTTGATATAAATAATAAAAAAAATATTCAAATTAAAAAAAATATATATTTATATTTTTTTATACTTTTATTATTTTTTAAATAAATAGATTTATTATTATTATTATTTTTAAATATGAAACGATTAATTAAAATAATATTTAACGAAGAGATAGAATAAATGATAATATTATAGTATATTAAGTTTTTATATATTATATTGTACTTGTACTTACTTTCTCACAAAATTATATTCTTTATCACTTTTGATTTCTTAAAAAATATATTCAATATATTCAATATTTAAAATTATTAAAATACATAAAATAAAAGTTTTTTTCAATTATTTAATTTTGTTATAAACAAAGTGAATTCAGTTACGCATTGAAATGTCATATTTATTATGCATTATAAATGTTATATAGTATAATTAAACATTAAATAGATTAAAGAGAATAATTTGATTGAGTATTTACTTCTATTATTCATGAAGAATAATGAAAAAATAAATATAATAATAATTATTATAATGATAATATATTTTTTAATTATGAGTTCTGTATAAATTTTTGCGTAAATAAAAAACGAAGAAAAAAAATAATTCAGAGATAGGATAAAAATTAGAAAATTAGTATTATTTCTAGAACATTATAAATGAAACTATATATATTAATATATACTAATATATAGGTATAATATATAGGTAATATATAGAATGAAGAGAAATAATAAAAGTAATAAAGTAAAAATTGAGAAATCAGCACTATCTTTAAAGTGTCATAAATAAAATTATATATTAAAAAAGAAAGCAAACAGAATAGAAAAAG